TCGTCCGCCTACAAGGGCAATAAAAGGAAAAAAAGTGTACCACCGTGACAAAAAAAAAGTTTGAGAATCACTGTTTTAAGCACTATTAGTCAGTAGTCGTAATGCTGTCTTTGTCTTTCATTTTAATGCCAGAAAGGAAACAATCTTTACAATACGTGAAGCAAAAACTTTGTATCCCTTTTTACAAAAATTGCGCGGACGGAGGAGTATGAAATTTTCCACACTTATAGAGAATATGGAGAAGAAGTGCACAATGCTAATATTTTTTTAAACTAATGCATAAAAGATACATTAAATCAATAAAGAAAACATTACACACACTACATACCATGTATTTGACGCACACACGCATGGATACTATTTTATTGTCAAACTTTTGTTCTTGACGTCTGTTGTCAAATTGAGAATAGATTAAATATTGTTTGTCTTTGTTAATATTTTTTATAGTGTAGTCTTGGCGAAATTTGTGATTATAGAAGTAAAAAATACAATCATTATAGTGTACAAACTTACAATTCCAATTAATTATAGTCGAATTTCGACTACTGCGGGACCTCTAGTAATTTTAAATTCCACAGCGAAGTTATTAGGGGTGGAGCGTGTGCCACTACAAGAACTGCTGGAGGAGAGTGACTTCGTGGTGCTAGTTTGTCCGTTGACCAACGAAACTAGACATTTAATCAACGCTGACACATTGAAGATGATGAAGAAGAACGCTGTATTGGTTAACATCGCACGAGGAGGTGTGTATCATAGTTTAAACTAACAGATGAAGTCTGAGAAGGTAACCATTGGAGTTCTTTTTTTCTTATATTTTTTTATGAATGGCTCCAACCCCTTAGGTGTTGTTTGTCCATACACAAATGTGTGATTTTAGGAACAGCACAAACAAATATGTTAGACTGACTACTTTAACCATTAGACTTTTTTCTTTTCCTACGTAATCTTGTAACCTCGAGGGGTTATGCTAGATTCTCCGGGCGAGTAGGTGGGCCCACGGGGCTCAAACTTGGCGTTGTTGCTAACACTAACCCTTGCAAGAGCAGTGTTCGCAGAATCCACCACCGGATCGGAAACGCGACCTACTGAGAAGATCCGGCGAGAAACTCAGTGGGCTCTGTCTGTGGGTTAATTTACACGCCGAGCCCTTGGTCGCAAGCGGCGGGTTCGGTGAGAACGATGACCGGTGCGTGAGGTAACTAAAAGCACCGTTAATGGATCGGGAAGATCCGAAATGACGTGTTTTGGGTGACGTCGACTGTTTACCATTTGGTCCGCAGGATCGGGAATGTAGCTACCGGTGGCCACGATGAGAGGGTTCTCGTGTCGTACCGCTTTATCGATAATGGCGCATCGATGCCGACTGTAGATACTTACTGATGGACTCTAAGTCCACGGAGCTCCGAGGGGTCGACTAGTAAATTAACCCTCAGACACAGCCCACTGAGTTTCTCGCCGGATCTTCTCAGTGGGTCGCGTTTCCGATCCGGTGGTAGGTTCTACGAAGCACGGCTCTTGCTAGGGTTCGTGTTAGCAACGTCGCCAGGTCTGAGCCCCATGAGTCATCTACTAGTTAAGGTTACGCTGAAATAGCCTCTCAAAACTCTCAGCTTAGGTAGGAAAAAAATTATAAAAAAGTGTGTTCTTTCACAGAGATAATTGATCATGTTGCACTTTACGAAGCGTTGAAGAACGAACAGATATTCGCTGCCGGACTGGACGTGGTGTCCCCGGAGCCGATCCCCGCAGACCACCCCCTGCTGACCTTGCCGAACTGCTGTAGGTTTGAATTTTGATTTTCTAATTTATTACAGCTATTTACAGCTCATCGCATTTTATAGAGACCGCGGAGGCAGAATTTCGTATCACCACCACCTTAAACTTCACCATTCATGCCAACACTCAGTAGTTACGTCATGTGTATGATGCAACTAGGGCCAAGGTGGCTAAATATTAGTGAAATAAATCTACATAAAAAGAAAAAATTAAGTATCAATTAGTAAAGGGGTGTAAATAAATTGATGCCGGGTATTTAAGATACGTAAGATAAAGATTATCATGCTTAATAATATTCCGTAATAGGCAGCGGCTTACCTGTAGGCTTTGCTTATGAGCAAAGTAGTCACTATCGCTCATGTTTTTTTAATTGCTTTTATAGAGAGACGAGTGTAGGGTCAGCTTGATGCTAAATAGTCACCGGCAATGCCAGGGGCAAACACAACCTGCAGCTTACCTGCTAAAATTCAATGACAAAACAGTAAAGAAACCTATGAAAGGGCATACAAAATTAATAACTAATTTCAATGATAGAGATTAGAGGTAAATTAATTTCGACATCAAAGAGAATGCTATGTGATTGTTTTTGGATTTAACCCCTTTAAAAGCGAAATTTCGTCTGCTATAAGTAATCTTATTACATGTTAAACACTAAAAAAAGAACAATTTTCACACAGATATAATACCGCATTTAGGCAGCGCGACAATCGAGACAAGAAACAAAATGGCCGTCAACGCGGCGAAAAACATTATCTTAGCATTCGAAGGAAAAAGTATGCTGTACCCTACATATTAACGTATCGGCATATCATAAAAATGATTACAAGTACAGATAGCACGTTCATTACATTTAAATTGCATATTAAAATTTTATGAAAAAATTTTTTGGGTGTTTTTTTTCTTCGTGAGTTTTTATTAATGTATCTTTGATCTTTTTGGCCTTGAGCTCAAAACGCCGGAACATCACTCCACCCGTTCGTGTGGACATGTCCCACTAAAAGCTCAGTACTCAACACCCAAACGTCCGATCCTCCCTGAAAAAGGCGCAGGTGGGAGATGACTAGACTAAATGCCCAATACTAGGCTAGGCTTAGCCTGACCGAGCTGCACGGCGGCAGCGGTAAGTATCACCTCCTTCGCCTATTCCTGCGAAGCAATCGTGCAGTTCAACCCGTAGAAGAACCAATTTGGTGTTGCCATTTTAAGCAGACAATCATACAGCTCACCCGATGCCACAGCCTAATCGCTTTCTAAACTTCACTGAACGCAATTTTCGTTAAGCAAATTTAAATATGAAGGAAAATATTGTTGTACGGGCCCAATCACGAATAAACATTAGAGTGTGCTTCACTATTGTGGGCTACACCTACATAAAATATACACTTTTCACATTGAGAAGACGGCACGACAAGAAAACTCTCTTGTTGTGGTCGCCGGAAATTACATACCCGATCCTATGAACCGAGTGGTAAACAGTCAACGTCGTCCTAAACCAGTCATTACGGGTCCTCCCGATCCATTAACGGTGCTTTTAGGTACCTCAGGTGCCAGTCACCGTCCTCGCCGAAACCGTCACTTGCGATGAAGGGCTCGACGAGTAAACTAACCCATAGACACAGCCCACTGACTTTCTCGCCCGATCTTCTCAGTGGGTCGCGTTTCCGATCCGGTGGTAGATTCTGCGAAGCACGAGCTAGGGTTCGTGCTAGCAACGTCATTAGGTTTGAGCCCCGTGAGCTTATCTACTAGTTCGGTGAATCTAGCATAACCCCTCGAGGTTACTAGCGAGGTCTACTACTTAGGTTGCATTGGACACACGCACCGAAAACCAGTTTGTTATCGCTCGCGCATAGCGGCCGTACTCTATAAATTATACTTATATGTATTTATATTTAAGACAATGCACCGCGCTGACATTTAGTCAGAGTCTACCCGCAACACGTAACGCCTGCCTATATTTTGTACAATAACTTCGTTTGTTCCGTTTTTCGATACTTAAGCTGTGTTTGTTCTTAATATAGTAAGTATCATTTTACTTTATATAGCTGACAGTAATTATATATATTTATAGTAACGTCGTGTAAACAAATAAAAGTGACAAAACTTAGCAGCGAACTATCCGTTACTTTTATATGGCCTTGTCGTACATCCCCCACATACATCTATACTACACATTGGACACGAACCGAACATTAAATTATTTACAACTATTAATATAAAATTAAAACTAATTAGTTTGTTGTGTAACTGTATACGTATATATGTATGTATATACGGGAGTAGCCCCCACAATTACAATTCACTTCGTTTACTTGAGATAATCGTGTGTGCTTAGTGTGAGTTTTTAACTCAAATCTGTATGGAGCTGGATCAGCGCCCCTAGCGGCAAACGAAAGGAAGCTTTTCCGACTCCATACGAATTTGAGTTAACTTTTACGCGATCGAGAAGTTAAAAAACTCGCGATAAGCACACCGTTCGTCACTTTGCTTATAATAGAACTGTCTTCATCCGGCCTGTTACCCGCTTTCCGCGTCCGATTGCCCCCAACGTCAGAACCCAGGTGAAGTAAGGGGTTACCGCGGCCAACATTTCAACAAGACAGCGCAGTTCAAGAACGCCCGACCGACGGGACCTTCGAGGCGAATCTGAGGCTCTGCAACGTCGGCTGTCTGGATACAGCAGCCAGGCTACCAAGCCGGTGCCGCTGGTGTACCGGAATACCCCGCTAGACCAGAACTAACCTGCCAGATCGGGACGCGATACACCGCGAACCGGTTGCTCTTTTTCACGATGTTATTGTTTCTTCCCGGCAGCACCTCAGTAACGCGCCGCGCAGCCCCAAACCCTTTAGGTCGCCCTTCATCTGAGGGGAGCCGCCTCCTACAGGGGCCGCGACATTCTTTATATATTAAGTGTATTATCTATGGTTCACTCTGTTCCTTCTGACGCTCGGGCGTTCCATATACCTAATATTTTATGTTTGGAGTGTCATTCTCAGTCTGTTGAGTCTATCGGGAGGCCTAACATAACACAGTATTCCCAAGCACTTACTTTTTTTTGAAGCACATTGACATTCTATAATCTTGATTCGCTTTTGTTTCAATATTGAGGCGTAGGTAGGTTCAATATAGACAAGGTAGGTACTCCTAATTAAAAATCCGTTACCCTTAATGGACTGGAACGGTTTGCAGCAAAAATAAATATAGATAAACTAATATTGTTTCTTCGTGTTCTGTTCAATATCAACTGCGATGTCTAATTGTAGCAACTACATAAAAATCGAGGAGAGGGGTACGAAAAAAAAAGGAAAGACCGAAATTAATTTTAAAAATCGCTGCTAAAAGTTATTTAATTCTGCTTTAGTTACTCCGTTTTGTATTGTTCATTTTAATTATTCAATCTACAAATATGTACATCGAATTCTGCTGTGTGTGTATTAATTTGAAAGAATAATAATGCGGCATGGTTGGGTAAAGTAGGTACTCTACATAAAATACTCGATTAAGAATCATCATTTTATGTAGCTTAAACATTAAATCATATCTAGTATTTAGGTGTTTGCGATCTATAAAGATAGATGCGCATATTTTTTATTCGCGTGCTTAGCTAATTAAGTATAGGTAAATCTCAAAACGTACAATAAACACATACATATCACCGCCGCGTGATAAACTCACGCTTTGAACTGATGAACATACAAAAACTGGCCAGTGATGATAACTGAATTAATCACAAAAACGTAATGTTAAATTGGAACTCCGTAATAATGATACTTAGTTTACTGGCACTCATAATACCAAGCAGACGCCTAAATTTAATAAAAATAAAATAAAAATGAGATAGGTTGTCAAATTTCCAAATAATTTTGACGTTTAAAATTGTTTGTAAAACCGCGAATACTTACTTATCAATGTTAATCTATAAGAAGGTTTTGTGTAGATTTCCAGCGATGATAACTCGATTCACTCAGTTGTACATCGGTCTGCTGGTAGCGATACCGTGTCTAGCCACGAACGGCACAATGACGAAGAACCTAAAAGTATTAGTTTCATCCAACGATTACCCGCCGACCGCGCTGAAAATACTTGAAGATCAGTAAGTAAATAATGTTTTGTTCATCAGTACAAATCTTTATGTAATTTTATTAATGTTTTGTTTGGTTTCCTCGTACCATTATCGTAATTACGAAACAAACTGTCAAGGTTGTAACACAAGTTTCCTTTTAAAAACAACTTTATTGCTTAGAAATTAAATGCCATATTTGTAACCACGTATTTATTTTTGATAAAATAATAACAATACTATCAAAAAGCAAACAAAATAAGCTTAAGGTCAGTTGAGTTCATGAAATTTAAGATCGATAATTTTTTGGTTTACTCATTTTAAAAACTATTTCATTAATAAAATTGTAATCAATTAAAAGTTTAGGTTATCATTCGACTAAAATTGTTTCTAAGTGCTCCTCTTGGTAGCGTAACCTAAGTAGCTAGCGTAACCCTAACAAGTAGATGAGCTCGCGGGGCTCAAACCTGACGTCGCTGCTAACATTAACCCTAGCAAGAACAGCGCTTCGCCGAATCTACCACCGGATCAGAAACGCGACCCACTGAGAAGGTCCGGCGAGAAACTCAGTGGGCTGTGTCTGTGGATTAATTCGCTCGTCGAGCTCTTCGTCGCAAGCGACAGTTTCGACGAAGACGGTGACCGGTGCTTGTGGTACCTAAAAGCACCGTTAATGGATCGGAAGGATCCGTAATGACGTGTTTTGGGCGACGTCAACCATTTACCATTCGGTCTACAGGATCGGGTATGTAATTTCCAGCGGCCACGACAAGAGGGTTCTCATGTCATGCCGCCTTCTCAAAGTGGCGCAATGATGCCGACTGTAGATACTTACTAACTGAACCGCTATATAATACATCAATATAAGCCACAGTCACAAAAACCAAGGGGCAGCTCTAGCAATAATATTGTTCTTAAAACAAATCTTTCACTAATAAAAAGCTACATTTCAGCTTTACAGTTCTACAGTCAAGGTATTTAAACTTTGGTCAAGAAGGAAGCACGTTAGGCAGAGAAGAGATCCTAAAGCTTATCCCGGGATGTTCAGCTCTAGTTTGGATCTCTAATCTTCCTATAACGAATGAAATCCTTGACGCAGCCGGTAAGTTCGCATTGTCTCGCTCGAGATATACAATCTAATGGGTGTATGTGAAAGTCGGTAATAGAATAGCTTTGGTGACCCTGACCCGGGTCGACCTTGACACAAAGAAGCTTGAACCTTATTAGCCAGACTTAAAACTACTTTTAAAGTTTAATCTTCCGTTTTTTATTGTCATTATTATGATACGAGATTATTTTATCATGACCGACTCAGTGGTGCAGTAGCTAGCACCTCTGACTGTTGCGCCAAGGTTCGTGGGTTCGATTCCCACATCGGGCAAACATTTGTGTGCTGAACAGAATTGTCTGCTCTTTGTCTGCGTGTTTATTACCTATATCTATATATATTTATACGTATATAAGTATGTATGTCAGTATTTTGTACTCATAACACAGGGAATTCTAATTTGGGGCCACAGGAATGTGCGTGGTTTGTTTTAAGAAAAATGTATATTATTTCGGACATTTAATAGTTTTAGTCACGGAAGACAAAGTTGTTATGCGTCGTACGTTATTTTATTATTGTTCTAATTAAAGATAGTTTTAATTATGTCTAGGACCCACGAAATCCAGATCGAATACTTAGTAATCAATCTGACATTTAAATGACATTTATAGTAATTTTTTTATTGCCGTTGTGGGCAGATGTAGAGCAGATATAGAGTAGATGTAGAAATGTAGAGTTTCCGAGTGGGGTGAATTGAACTTGGTTCAACTCGAAAAGCGTGGGGAAAGCGTGAAAAGCGTTGAGGAAGCGTGAAAAACGTGGGGGAAAGCACCGAGCCTAAAACGCCAGCATTAATTAATGGTCATGGTATCGGAGCAGCAACCGTAGTTTTTTGGGAGTGTTACGGAAACGATATTGTGATCGATCAGGTACACAACTGAAGATCGTGAGCACGGTCTCCGCCGGCTACAACCACTGCATCCCCGAGGAGTTGCGCGCGCGGGGTATGCAGCTGACGAACACCCCGAACGTCCTGTCCCCGGCCGTTGCAGAGGTTGCCGTGGGGCTCATATTGTCGGCCTCTAGAAGGTTCACTGAGAATCTGGATCAAGTACGCAGGTAGGCACCACCGCCCCACCTATTTCTGCCGTGAAGCAGTAATGCGTTTATCACTAATTAATTAATACCCTAATTACCCCTTTTTATGAAATTTCGCGGACGGAGGAGTATGAAATTTCCCACACTTTATAGAGAATACTTGTATAGAGAAGGAATGCAGAATTCTATTTTTTTTTTCAAATAATACATAAACAATTCATTAAATCTATAAAAATAACATATATTTGACACACATGTGCATATTTATTATTTTGTTTGATTGTTAAAGTCTGTGGTCAAATTGTCTATAGGCTACACCTTGGCGAAATCTGTGATTATAGAAGTATAGTCCAAAGATTAAACTTCTTCTATTGTCAAAAAAATAGAACCGTAATGTTTAAACTTATAATTTAAATTAATGATGGTCGTATTTCGACCGCTAGGTGAACACTAGTATGGATAAATCACTAACAAAAAATTAAAAGGGGCCACAGGAGAAACAGCAGTTTACAAATAAATCATCGATATCGATTAACCTACAAAAAGGTTCTAAGGTAACACACATAGGTAAAAATACAGCCGAATTGAGAACCTCCTCCTTATTTGTGGAAAGAAATCATGTACGCTCATGTCTCAACCTTCTTATCACAAATTAGATCGTTATGTCATGATTATTAAATCAACTGTAGCTTATATTTGACTTATCGCCGCGTTTATCAGTGAAATATTGGTTGACAACGAATCTAGATGAATTGGAAATACATATCAAATCGAGATTCGGGATAATGTTAAAGGAAAATATATTTTTGTTTTTGAAGTGAAACTTCTAATGCAACAAGGTAGCATGGAATAGAAAGAGACAGAGCGAGAGTGAACGCGTGGCACTTGAACGCATGCGCGTAGTATACCTGTGACCATAGATTATACACTTAATATATTTGAGACCTGTGACAGGTCACCGCGAGCGTTAGCAACGAGTAGCGTCCAATATTTTAATGAATTATTTAAAAATATATTTATCTTTATTTTTCTATCTATAATTTAAAATTTATATAGTATAAATGTTAAAGATGTCGCATCTCTTATACACAGCATTTCCTAGTACAAAATCAATCTGATTGAAGGATGACAAATGAAGAAAACCACTACACACTCCACATCGAAAAAGAAGTTTCACTTCATTCACGTGCACCAAGTTGCACGCGCACCGTTTTTTTTTCTAAAGCCCTTTCGGTTCCGACTTAAATTCATAATTTTCGAGTTGAATTATTATAGTCTGTCTTCGACCAAAAGAAACATAATCACAATATAACCGATGTCACGTATTGAACAACCTCACTGAATGTCCGGAAAACCGATCAACCGTCCAGTGTGCTTACTGCGAGTTTTTAAACGTTCTCGATCGCGTAAAAGTTAACGCAAATTAGTACTTATAAGAGCTGGAACGTTTGCCTACGTTTGCCGCTAGGGGCGCTGTTCAAACTCCATACAAATTGAATTAACTTACGCTATTAGAACGTTTAAAAACTCGCACTAAGCACACGGGAAATATTTGTAAGCAAGGTTGCTTCGATCAATAACCGCGTTACTCGAACCCATAGACTTGCAAATTATTGGACATGGCGTGCAGTGAAACATATAGACCTTTTTAAAGCTACCATGTTAGACATCGCTAGCAATCTTATTTATCTATGTTTTTTGAGTACAATTAAAATACACCTTGTATTTTTTATGACATAGACGATTTCATTTTATTGAGTTATTGGTTTTTGTTTGAAAAACAATTTAATTTAAAAGCATTATTACAAACTTGTTTATTCTCTTCAATTACACAGTAAGAATATTATAAAGTGCTGCCACCTAGTGTCTACATAGAGTTAAATTTTCTTTTCATATTTCGAATACCATTTAACGAATTACATTACTTCTTTCCTGCTCTAACATTTTTCTTTTTCCATGGTCTATAATGTTTTTTTTATACTCTTCTAGGGGAGAATGGGAGATCGGCTTCGACAAGGTCCTAGGGCAAGACCTCCGCGACAGCACTGTAGGGATCATCGGCTTGGGTGGTATTGGACAGGCTGTCGTCAAACGTCTTAGTGGTTTTGATGTCGCCAGGTTTATTTACTCCGGACACAGAGAAAAACCCGAAGGTACACGATTTTGGCTGAAACCTGACCTTTTTATCTCCGCGCATTAGTTGCAGCTTAAAGTATGTTTAATAATAGCATTCATTTTCCCTTAGCCCGCAATCTATAATGATATGCAACTCACTGTCAATGCCGCTAATCAGCTGATTTCGCCTTCGTTACGTAACAGCGTGCAGTGGATTTAACTTTTTTTTTATGTTATTGATTAGCATTGTGCTAACTGTATTCGCTTCCTTGATCTTTCATACACACGTTGACTGCCATGTAGGTCACCAGTACCCTACGCAGCGCACTGAAGTAATGTCGATTTCTATTACTAAGCATCTGGATTGTTTAACTCTCCCTTTTGTTTGTTAATGTATGTTTTAGTCTTTTAAGATCACTTAGAAATAGATTTATTCTCAGCATCTTCGGATTTGTCTTTCCCATAGTGTACTAGATATTTTGGCACCTTAGAAGATCGAAGATAAATCTAAATAATTACTTCAGTGAGCCACATAACTACATGTCTCGATCGTAATGTAAATCTACCGTACGTAATTTTGCCTGCTTAGACATGACTAGCGACCCGCTCCGGCTCCGCTCGGGTCTTTAACAAAAATTTCAACAATATTTGACGTTACTTAATTTTTTAAAATAAATGAACACTTATTGCGGCATAACTATAATAGTTAGACATGTGCCATCGCGATACATTTTGTAAATAATAATGTGTTCTACAAAGTCGTAGTACATTATTTTATTCTATCATTAATAGTTTTCGCAGGGCACGCGGTGTAAAGAATATTTTAGGTATTTTTTTACACCTTGGATTACATTAATTATTGGAGTTTCAGTAAGGAACCCTAATTTTTTGCAAAAAAAGATTATAGCCTATGTATATATAGCCTATGTCACTTGGGAATAGTGTAGCTTCCAAACAGTGAAAGAATTTTTCAAATCGGGTCAGTAGTTTCGGAGCCTATTCAATACAAACAAATGTTTCCTCTTTATAATATTATAGTATAGATAACATTTTATATCCTTGCAGCTAAAGCCCTTAGAGCAGAGTTCGTAAGTCAGGACACGTTGCTGGAGCAAAGTGACTTCATCGTCGCGGCCGTGCCTCTGACTAATGAGACCAAGCTGATGATCAACAAAGAGACGCTGGGGAAAATGAAACCGAACGCTGTGTTCGTTAATGTAGGACGCGGAGGTCAGTGACCCGACCATCGTTAATTCTATATACCTAATTTTAATAGTCAGTTAATTTTAGTATGTACATATGAGTCGTCTATTATCAAAGGTGGCAATCTGTGCATTTGGACAAAAAAATATTATTGATATGTCAATACAGATTGATTTGAATATAATCGTCGCCTTCAAAGAATACGGTTCAAAACCTGCATTAAATAAAGGTTAATACTTAACCTGTTATTTATCTAAGATGTCGATCAGAAGAGTTTTGTGACTGCCAATAGAATACAAAGTCAATAATTCGTTTTTCTGATTTACCAATAATTGTCCAAAAGTCACATTGCCGGCTTTGATAATAGTCGACTCATATATAGGTTTGTATGTGGGCGTTTGTGTAACGGAATCTTTCTAAAATCATCTTCAACGCATACAACTCGTTCGATTAACTCGTAAAATTTGCACACGCAACAAGGACCGTATTTCTACCGTGAAGCAATAATGCGTCTCGGTTTGAAGGGTGGGGCAGCCGTTGTAACTATACTGAGACCTTAGAACTCATATCTCAAGATGGGTGGCGGCATTTACGTTGTAGACGTCTATGGGCTTCAGTAAACACTTAACACCAGGTGGGCTGTGAGCTAGTCCACCCATCTAAGCTATAAAAATTTAAAAAAAAATCGATCCAATATCCTAACGTGCTTAGTGCGATTTTTTAACGTTCTCGATAGCGTAAAATTTAACTCAAATTTGTATGAAGTTGGAACAGCGCCCCTAGCGGCAAACGTAGAGAAGCTGCTCCAACTGACTGGAATCGACACGAAAAAAAAAAGTTATATCAATCGTTATTCGGTTTGCTGTTTGAGCATGTCTTAGTTTTTACACTACACATTAATATATTTTAATGATTTGAAACTAATGATGAACTTTTTGGATCATAGACCTCGTTGACCAAGACGCTTTGTATGACGCATTGAAGAACAAACAAATCTACGCGGCTGGACTGGACGTGACTACCCCCGAACCGCTGCCCAAGGACCACAAGCTCTTAACGCTGCCGAACTTATGTAAGCAATTGTAAAACATATATTTTTTTCTAGCTAAAATTTACTGTCACGTGTTCTTTGTCTATGGTGAATTTGGATGTTAATAGACTTTTATTACAGACTAGCCCGCTTCGCTGGGCATTTAAAATTAGCATTATAATTTCCATTGAGTACATGTATTTTTTACATGGATACCAAGTTTCAAGTCAATCGGGTTCAGTAGTTATAGCGGAAAATCCGTAAAAACCACTGTAGATTTATATAGTAGTATAAGATATAGGTGAAACTGTTTGTCTAATTTCTGTGACATTTGTAATTTAACTAAATCTTATTTGATCTTGAAATGTTTCTGATTTAAACTGTATATACATCGAAAACTTGTATGAAATTATAGACCTGTCAAAAATTACAATAAACAGTAGGTGAGTGATAATGATTTAATGAAATTTAAATTTGTTTACAGTTGTACTCCCGCATATCGGTAGCGCGACGGTGCGGACCCGCCGAGAGATGGCAGAGCTGGCAGCCAATAATATTGTCAACGGCCTCACTGGCAAACCTTTGCTGTCACCTGTCAAACTATAAACTTTACCATTGTACTTCTCTAATATATTAAGTGTATAATCTATGATTGTACTCAATGACTGATTTAGTTCTATAGTAATAAATCGTTAACCAGGGGGGTGCAACTCCCATACAAAGGAAAATAACATACAACTAGCGTCATCTTACTCCTGTGGCGACGTCATTTTTGTAACTTTTAGGCATTAATGATCTAATAAACTCACTAGATGGCAGATATGAGTTCTGACTCAATAAAAAATGTAGCGTACTTTGAAGCAGTGCTTCCACTTTTAGGGAATTCTCCCTTTTTTAGGGAAAAATAGCTGATATTTTGGATGATAAAGACAATTTAAAAAATACCAGGATTTAGGATATTTCGGGGTAAAAAGCAAAGCCTATACTAGTAACTGTTGTGAATTTTAAAATAAACGATAATTAAAGTAAAACAATGAACATTTTATTTTATGGAGAGAGAATGACATTAAGTCGAGTTGACAAGTAAAAGAATAAAACAGAGTTGTGTATAAAAACTATAAAGGTTTGATTCAACAGTAACCCTCTAGTAAAGTAAATCATAGATTAAGCCACTGCTTTTTCTTAGGGATTCCCCAGAATCCCAATAAGTATAATCCGCCAAATTTTTATTTACCTATTTTCGTTGATGTCACCAGAACTTACTTGTATTGTAATATACAGGTACTTCATGTACCATGAAAGATTATCATGGTAATTTCATTTACGAAAACCTTGTAATTGTCATTTCACTTTTGCTAGCAGTTCCTTCTTCAAAGACTGAGGTGGAAAGATTATTCAGTGTTCTCAAATTTAAAAACTGACAAAAGAAACAGGCTTTCTAATGAAACCCTGAACGGCTTGCTTCATAGAAAGTTCCCAACTTTGCCAGCAAACAATTGCTCAATTTTAGAACCGAACAGTGTTAGGTTGTGCAGCAAAAGAATATAAAAGCAATGCGTCGACTTCCTTGAAAATTCTAATCCTATAGATCTATGATCTTCTGGGGGCGTTTATATTATATATACCTACATTAAATAATATGCTGTGGTTTATTTTCTGTATTTTATTTACGCTTTCTATATAAAGGATTTATGAAAGTTGTCTAGGAAATTTTAGGGTAAATTCAAAAGAAACTAGGGTAAAATGTGTTAAAAAAAACGTAAGTGGAAACACTGCTTTGAAGTTTTCAAAATTCCAGGGCCGTAAAACAATCTCAAAAAAAAAAAAAAAGTTTTCAAAATGTCGTAACGATTTAATTTTTTAAATCGTTTTTTTTTGGTCTTGGTGTGAGTTATTTTACGTTGTAGTATTAATTTAGAGCAACTTTTAGCTTTATGAGAATATTAGACGATTAGACATTGAGAAACTCTGTTTTGAATTCTCTTTAGACATAACTTGGCTCCAATACTTTTTTCTTCGTTAGCGTTTCGTAAGCCTGTGTAACTATTTTCATTTCTTACAGAATGTTTATTATTAAAAATCAGCATGCCTCGAAGATCGAAAATGAAATGCTATTTCGGATGCCTTGATAACGGTGAGTTTACACTATTTTCCCGGTATATTATTTGCTAACAGAATTATTATTCATAATATAATTAAATGAATTAGCACCAACTAATGGTCCTTCCTATTTCTGCTGCCTAGCTATCATATATGTTAAGTTTTGATCAAAACAGTCGGTATTAAGTCTCGTACTATCACACACACACCTCAGATAATAAAATTGTCTCGAGTGGGTGGAAGTATTTATGTTTTGCAACTCAGCGTATTATATGCTTATTGTCAAGTGGGCCCGAACTAGTTTTTTGGAATGATCAATCAGTCATGCTTTCCTGTTTAAATAAAATACAGCACAATTGATCTCACATCCAAAGTTAGATGATGGCATTCACGTTTTGTTTCCTGGTGTTTGATAACTAAGTTACACCAAGTGGCCTGTGACCACGTTCATCCTTCTACCCAATATAAAATAATGTTTTTATTTTTGTAGACAAAGGTTTGATAATGACAAAATTTTATGGAAAAATTATAAGGAGCACTAAAATGTCTGAAACATGAAAAGATTGATGCACTATATTTGAACCAGAACGTGTTATGTAATATATTAATTTGTAAGTAAGATTACATTAACACTAAATTTTTCATGGTCGTATTTTTTCAATATTTGTTACATACTTAAGATACTTTGTTTCTCCGTTTCAGAAGAGAAACTGATTCAGCAAGGAACGTGAACTCTCAAGGGATCTTAATTTTTTTTAAATATGTTTATAATTGATAAATTAATAATTGAAATAGTTCATAAGAACTAAATTGATGCCAATTTTGTTTTAAAATAGGTTGTTTAGTTCTTATAGTTATAGTATTACGTTTGAATAGTTGTAATTAGTAAGTTAGTAATATATGAAAATACTGATATAAATTTTTGTAAATAACCTTTTGTAAATTCTACGAGAAGATGATTTTAATTAATGATCAAAAGTCAACGGTCTTTAAAAGCATTATTTGCAATTATTTAGATTAACTGTGGAATATATTTGCTAAGTTGTGTTTTCTGTATGAGCAGATATAAATGAAAATGCCCAAACATGATTATGTTTCTTACATTTTCATTATGTGAAATCAATATGCTTGTGACTGAGTATATTAATAATTTATTAAAACTTAAGTGATAGACAGCAACCCCTATGGCACTGCTGAAGTTTATAAGCACTGGTGACCACTTATCATGGGCCGGGTTGCGTGCTCGTCTGCTGTTGAGTGCAATAAAAATTTTCGAAACCCTTTCTATTATTTAGATGTAATATTAGTGTACATTTAATTTGGATTAAAAGATAAATTTACATTTTATGTTTGCATGTGTATGTTTATAATTCATTTGCATGTAACGAACACCAGTTTCTTTTGTAACAAAATGTAAACTAATGGTTTGTAATGAATGTAATTAACTTTAAGATGATTTTCTTTCAATCTGCTGTTTGTTTCATCTAGTATTACCAAAGCTAAAGCATCAGAAACGTCAGAATAGAAATAATTTAGATAGGGAATAAAAGTATAACTAATGTAATCATGTCTAAGATTACTATAAGCGTCATTAAGTACAAACTATCAATATTTAAGAGTACTTTAAATCATCATTACATTTTTTAAACATTTTTTGTTTTTCAAATCATGTAATAAAACGTTTGTGCAGAACAAAATGTCACATGTTATGAACATGATTGTGGGTTAATCGTTTCTTAAATTTCTAAATGTTTATAAGAATGCTAAGAATAATTTAGTATTCACTTTAGTGTGTGTATTATCTCTACAATGCTAGTATAAATGACAATTATTGTATGACGAAGCATAGGTAGTGTTTATAGATGTAATATTTTCATACAAGGTCATGATCTGTCACGATCAACTTTAAGCAAGAACTGCTATAGTTAAGAAACAAATTTATTAAATTTAATTCAAATTGTCTACTATGTTTGTAATGGAAAGCTGACATGTTTATATTTCGCACAAATGACTTAAGTGACATTGAATGATTTGATTATCTAGACTTAATTAACTTTTAGATAACTTTCGATTTAATGTTATTAAGTACTCTAGTAGGATTAATCTAGAGGAGTTATTGTTATTCGAAATTTTATACAATTGTACGTTCATACTATCTTTTAACAGTAAATTGTTTGTAATATAGGGAAATTAAATAGCTTACAGAGAATTACAGCTTTTTATTTAAAAAAACTGTTTTCTCTCTGTATGAAAAGGTCTTATCGATTAGAATGCTGAACACAATCAAACGTTCTTTAATATTTCATAAGTACTACCGGGAATTTCAGCGATTCTAAACGATAAGATTTTTTCATAAAGAGAGTTAATTATAAAAAATATTAAAATTACTAAAAAAGCCACCTGGTGGGGGGTAGGGAGACTAATAATCGACAGCAGCGACGCCTGCTGTCCCGGGCTCTAACTAAAGCAAAAATAAAAATGAGAGTTGCGCATCTAATCTATGTCGTTAACAGAACCATGAAGTCGGAGTCGAATGTCGAAATATAGTTTTTAACATAAACTTGTTTGTATCTGGATTGACCTGGTGTTTGTTTTGTTTTTTCTTTTCCTGCGACGTAACTCTTTATAAGAATCTCACCTTTATTAATAAAAATAATAAATATTTATTCCAAGCATAAAATATAAAAGTTAAAGTAACAAAAAAAGAAAAAAAAAACTATTAACGCTACATATACAGTCAAACCTGGGTAAGTGAGAACTGGATAAGTAAGAAAACTATAAGTGAGAGTAATAGCAAGGACCCGTCATTTTAAGCTCCCAAAACCTCTATTAGCGAGAAACAGAAACCTCTGTAAGAGAGAGTCGTTTTTTCCTCATGGACCTCCGTAAGTGAGACTGCTACATATCTATACCTCTATAAGCGACAGCCGAGCTTTATTTATTTATTTATATTATATAGGAGGAACAAATGACAAAACAAATTACAAATTTAACATCTGCTATTTTATGACTCATTTTTAACTTTCGTGGAACTTCTTATCATTGTTTTTGTATGGTTTTCCCGTGAATATTGAACCTATTCTATTTCGTGGAACTAAATAACGTTGTCATTTTATCGTATTCTTTTATCGCATTATTTTCGAATCGACACGTGTGCCTGTGTACCGTCCTGTTTGTCGAACTTACTCAGTTTAATCGACATCAACCCCACGAAAAGCACAGCGGTGCTCTTCAAAAGGGGTCGCCCTCCGAACACCACGCTGAGCATCCCCCTCCCGACTAGGCGCGTCAACACCTCCGCTCCCGCCATTCGCCCAATCACGGTGTTCGACCAGCCCATACCGTGGGCCCCGAAGGTCAAATATTTAGGCGTCACCCTCGACAGTAGGATGACATTCCGCCCTCACATCAAGACGGTACGCGACCGTGCCGCCTTCATTCTAGGACGTCTCTACCCGATGATATGTAGGCGAAGTAAAATGTCCCTTAGAAATAAGGTGACACTCTACAAAACTTGCATACGCCCCGTCATGACCTATGCAAGTGTAGTGTTCGCTCACGCGGCCCGCACTCACTTAAAGTCATTCCAAATTATTCAATCCCGTTTTTGCAGGATAGCCGTCGGAGCCCCGTGGTTCGTCAGGAACGTCGACCTCCATGACGACCTGGACTTAGAGTCCACCAGTAAGTATATGCAGTCGGCGTCGATGCGCCACTTCGATAAAGCGGCACGACACGAGAACCCTCTCATCGTGGCCGCCGGTAACTACATTCCCGATCCTGCGGACAGAATGGAAAGCAGTCGACGTCGCCCAAAACACGTCATCTCGGATCCTCCCGATCCACTAACGGTGCTTTTAGGTACTTCAAGCACCGGTCACCGTTCTCGTCGAACCCGTCGCTTGCGACGAAGGGCTCGACGAGTAAATTAACTCTCAGACACAGCCCACTGAGTTTCTCGCCGGATCTTCTCAGTGGGTCGCATTTCCGATCCGGTGGTAGATTCTGCGAAGCACGACTCTTGCTAGGGTTCGTGTTAGCAACTTCATCAGGTTTGAGCCCCATGAGCTCACCTACAAAAGTTAGGGTTACGCTGATATAGCCTCTCAAGGCTCTCAGCTTAGGTAGGAAAAAAAAAAAAAAAAAAACTCAGTTTATCGTTAATCAATTGCGAAGGAAAGTTCTGTTCTGCATCATGTCAAAACGGAAAATTAAAGTACTGTCATTAAAGTCGTAAACTTAAAATAGTGAATGCATTTGAATGCGGAAAATCGCGAATCGAAATTCAGAGGGAGCATTAGCGAGAAACTCGGGTTAGTGAGAAACCTCTATAAGCGAGAATGAGATTGTGCTCCCTTGAACTCTCGCTTATCCAGGTTTGACTGTATATCGAATGCTAAGTAAGCACCCATAGTTCCTCTTATAAGTTTGGAATTAATAAATGAAAATTTCGTGACATGTTTTATGATAAGGTAGATAAGGGTAAATGTGTATTATAAAAGTAAATTTTAAAAAATTTACAAAAAAGAAAACCTATTTAAAAAAACAAATTAATAAGAATATGATCAATGCTTATTATTATTAGTATCATCACCAATATACTCGAAGTCAATTAAATAGACCAAATTAAGGAGAACTCAAAATATACTGGGCAGAATTTAATACATTTATATTATATAGGAATCACCACAATCAGCTTTTAATTCAATATAAGAATAATTCTCGATTCACCTAAAAGAGTTATGACACACAAAAAGATGCCGAATTATGAACCCCTTTTTTTTTAAATCGTTTAAAAATATATATTATGTATCAATACATTAAAGTAAAGAAGCGCAACGGGTCACTTGCTGTGAGGTGGTTACCAAACTGAGCTCAAATATAAAGTGTATAATCTATGAAAAGAGTCTTTGTTAAAGATTTAAGGGTTTGCATTTTATTTTTTATTTTTTCTTGCCCTTGTAGGCAGACGAGCACACGGCCTACCTGATGACGAGTGGTTACCGTCGCCCATTTTTAGCTCGTCTTGTTTGTCCACACACACACAGCACAAGAGAAAATCCTAGATTGTAACTATTAAATGTAATAAGTTTATCACTGTCAAGAATGAACACTTGTCATTGAGAAGGTGGCACTGCTGGTGATTCCTGATACGGAAATAGATGAATCCCATCATACCTATAGTTATGATATTAGTTCTGATCGGGCTAAATGGTTTGCTTTTTTTATCTTAATAATTCAATGACAAGTTCGTTCAGAAAACTATACAAGTAGGTAATTCCCAAAATTAAGAAAACAAGAACTAAAACAGTTAACTTTTAATGGTACGTAAATAGTTTCCTTTTTATAACTTTATATGTTTTGACACTTTAAATAGCATTTTAGAATTTCAATTCCAAAATTCAATTATATATACATACATTAAACACCAATAAACCTTTAGGGATACTGTAACCATAGATAATAGATAATACACATAAACTAGTTGTAATATATCAAAGTAGCTACTGACATTTTTAGAGAAAAAATATATTTTAGGCAAATATCATACCAGACGTATTCACTACATGTCCATACATAAATCAATGAATCATATAATGCACTTTTTAAACAAATACCTGGAATATTGGACTGCATCTCTGCATCAAGCTGCATTGCATATTCCAATACGTCATCTGCCTTATATGTACACATTACTAACTATATGCAGTCAACCCTGCTTCTATATACATCTTATTAATATAAATTATTTCAGTTTTTAAACTTTTCTATCATTGTTAGTAATGTAGGTAGTTAAAAAAAGAAGATGTTATAGTTCAAAACTGACACTGGCAACACCAAATTTTATAGGTATTTGCACTCAAAGCATTCGAATAATATTCATATATGCAATTATGTAATGTTTTTGGATAAACTTTTATATTGCATTTAATCTATGTAATTGCAGATTTGCATTACTTTATGATGGGTTCCACATAACTTATTTTACATCAATATACTTTAGCTAAACAGATTATTGTAAAAAAACGCAAGGCATTGCCAATGTTCATATTACTATATACAGTTCATAAAAGCACCGAAAAATAAATATGTAACTTCGATCCCACATTAGCCTTAATAAACCTATTTTAGAGAGTTGTAAAAGGCTATTTGGTTTAAGCGACATTTTTGAAACTTTACAAGTGAGCCATAATGTTTAAAATTTGGAAAAAATATCAGAAAAAAACACTTCTTCTGCTATTAGAATGGAGTAAATTTAATTAAAGTTCAACAAAGTCTTGATGCTAATACCAAATAAAAGGAAACTTTAATTACAAAGATGAATGTCGCTTAAACCAAATAGCCTTGATATATTTTAAAAACATGTTTATATGAGTAATTTATGAGAAATATTTTGGTTTCGCTTGTTTGATTCAAGGTGCATCTGCAACTACCACCTCCAAGTCCTTCAAGAATGGTTCAATCTGACTCTCTAATGATAAGATGTGACCAGTGTTGCAGTTGTCGCTTCCAATAAATGTGATAACTAAGGGTAGTTTGCTCATTTGTACCACCTGTAAATTATGATTATTTTTATTAAACATGAACATTACAGAAATATTACAAACCCTTACTGTTATACTGTGAATGGCTCAAGATTGCAATATTTTGATTTAAAATAATTTATCAATAATTGTAGGGTTTTAAATATGTATTTTAAATTTAGTTACTTCTTATAATAACCGATTGACTGAAGCCCAAAATTGTGCCCAGATTTGACTTCCTTTGCTATTATACAGCTTATGTTAGCAATGTTCTACCCATAGAAATTTAACTAACTTATTATACTCATTCCAGACAAACAGGGCAGTCTCATTCTTCAACATCATGTTACTCATAACTAGCAATCAATAAGCGACCATAGCTCCATGTACGAGGGAGGTTTTATAGCCCTACAATTCTTTAAGCAATATTATTCATCACTTACGAAAAGTAAATAATTTTTTTTTTTTCAAAACAAACCTGATAACTTGAATACATTGATATAATGGTTTTATTTCTGCCCAATCCAAGTTTGCTAGCCTGATCTGTAGCCATTCCAAACGTGGATATGAAGTTAGGACGCAGAGCTAGTGGAGGCGCCCTTTCAGTTACCGCCCTCACAAGGGGTACACCATCTCTATCGGTAATCAAAATACAATGAAGGCCATTTACTCTGAAAAAGAATAAAGTTAAGGCCATCAATAGTTTTTCTTTTTTAAACCACCCGTACGTACTTTCCATTATCACTACATAGTATAAAACAAAGTCTTTTCTCTGTCCCTATATCCCTATGTATGCTTAAATCTTTAAAACTACGCAACGGATTTTAATGCGGTTTTTTTTAATAGATAGAGTGATTGAAGAGGAAGGTTTATATGTATAATAACATCCATTAAATAGTGGAGAAATCAATAATAAATTGCAATTTCCGAAGCGAAGCGAGGGCGGGTCGCTAGTAAGATAATAAAACGAAAAACCAAAGAGTAAAAACGCAGAATTATAAAGTTTTCTTACTTTTCCAGTAAATGATTCAAGTATTTTCTAAGATCGTCAACCATATTTTTTACAGTGAAAAATCTTTTTTGGTTTTAGAAATATGGAAAGCTAGCAAATACTAAATTGTGAAAAAAATAAGGTTTGTTTATATTTTTTTAATGTTGACAGTTGACAAATTGGTTTTACGCCAGTAGGTAGTAGTACTAGTTTTGTTTTTCCAACTGGACAGGCAAAGGTACCTTAGTATATACCTTAAGCCAGAGTTCCCCAAACTTTTTTGTGTCGTAGACTCCTTGCCATGTTTTTCCGTGTTGGGTAGACCCCCTACTTACCTGATATTGATTTCCTGTAAATTTCTAACTGTAGTAAAGTTTAGTGTTAAAAACTTAAAGTAAAACACATGTTAATTTATACATTTATTAATTGAATTTAAATTAAAAACTACTCAAAATAAAATTTTGTATCTGTTATGTAAAATATACGTAACATAAAATAAACTATAAATAAAATAACATAACCCCTTGCATGTTGTCATAGACCCTTAGGGGTCGATATAGACCACTTTGGGAATCGCTGCCTTAACCTTTTAGATTTTAAATATATTTTTATTATGTATGAAAAATGATAATATGAAGTGAAATGAAATGAAGTTCATTAATATGAAACATGAAATGAAATGAGATGGGATGATAAGGGATGAAATACAATCTCAGTAAAATGGTGGTCATTTACTAAGATTTTTGAGTGGACTTTTTGGAGGATCCCGAGAAGTTACGTTCAGCGGCTTAGTTTCATTTTCCCACATTTGTGCACTTTCACAGTTATACTAAACAGTTTATAAACCACGGTTATTACACATTTAAACCTGAAGAAACACTAAATTGACAAAATAAAACAACTCACACAACGTCACTCCTCGCGTTCCGTCCAAAAAAAAAGGTTTTAGGCCAATTTCAGAAATTTCATGAAAGTTCACAGATTACCTATATTCTATGATTATTCTGTTACAAAATCTATTTGTGCCTGTTGCTTAATTCAAAATTAACTCATTATACAACGAATATGGCTCTATATAGAATACTAATCCCACATAAGTCTATTAATGTTTACTATTTATTTTATTATACAAATGCCGTTAAGTGATCCGTGAGGATCCCCAAAAAAATGCATGAGATGAGAATGTCAGTAGCGAGCAATTCTTTTTTTTTAATAAATATTACTGACTTGGAAACAGCGAAAAATTCAAATGTAAATGAACACAGATTAAAAATTCTTTTTAAAGTCTATTGCCAAAATGGCAGAATCGAACTGACAAGTTGTGGGATTTTCGTAATTTATTTTTGGGTACAATAATTATTGCCTTTGTACTTCTAGAGATTTATTTGCATAGTCAACCAATTATAATAGAATAAGTGTTCATAAATGCGAAGCAATAAAGTGTTAAATAACATCACAATTGAATGTTGCAATATCTTGAATTACAAGTTTGGTATGATAACAAAAGAATAAAAAATCTCTTTCGCTTCAATATGCGTTCTTTTTCATGGCTTGTGTATCGTGAGTATTAAAGGGGTGTTTGTGTTAATACGTTCAAAAGCAGGAGCATGTATACGTAACTCTGCTGTTTCGTGATTTTCGGGATAGTGACGTCACAAAATAGAGAACGTTATTTACAGTATAAGTTAGCAATAAAATGGTAAAGCGTCTTCACCGGTGAATGCATTAAAATAACTTGTACCGAAGGAAAGATAAAGTTCGGGGCGAAGCGGTGAGCCTCCGCTAGGATGGGCGGCGATGTCTGCCCCCTCTGAGAGCGCCACAAGCCCTGCACCTTGCGCATGTACCAACATATCGCTTATGCAATTATTTCATGAGTTAAAACAGAAATATCCAGGTGTTCCTGATCATGTTGTCTCACACACCATTGAGTTGTACGGTCATAACAAACAAGCCTGCGAGACACATCTCCATAGCGAAGTCAAGGCCTCCCTAACTCACGCATACCACGCATCCTCGTCTGCTGCAGCTCGACAGCTCAACCAGCTCAAACTTAACCTTCCACTAAAGTGCAGAAACCAGCCAATAGTCAAGCATGAAATTGTCAAGTCAACGATTGTAAAATCTCTAACATGTCAAGGACCACAAAAAGCTGTTCTTAGTGCTGATTTAAAAGAACAAGACTGTGAGAACAAAGTGAATACCGACGCAAACCAGAATATTGTTGAAGCCAAAAATGAGGAATTGTTACAACAAATTAATGTGACTCCATCCTCACCCATCACCGTCATAAACATTGATAACTGCTTTGCAAAATACAGTGCTGAATCACCAAGTGATCTGGAACTGAGTAACGAAAACAAAGAGGAATTAGTCACTTCCCCTGTACGAGACGAGAAAGTAAATAAACAAGAACAGAAAGTCCCAGATCAACCAGAGAGTACGGGCTACAAGATCTTAAAAAGTTGCAAAATAAAAAGCAATTTAAATGAAAAGCTAGACAAAGGTAGAGAAAAGAAGACTATCAAAAAAGAAGATAAGCCACAAGAGAAACCGAAGCGTCCGAATACACTTGACTTCATAAAACCAAATCCAGATATTGCATTTAAACAAACGTTGAAAGAACCTGAATCTGAGACATGTAGGACAGTGTCTCCCGCACCATCTGCTGCCAAAAATGAAAGTCCCACTAAAGAAGCCAAACCAAATGCGTCATTCAGAACGGAAAGGGGATACCCTGTGAATTTCTCTGTTAATGTAAACTGTCATATGGACCTGAGTCGTGGTTATGGTGATCCTTGGTTAGAAGATTATGATAGCCCCAGAGCAATTACATCTGTCAATCTAACGGTTTGCACTCCTACGTCGAATATGGCGAGTCCTATCAGAGAGTCAAGAGATGATGATGGTGGATTTGAAGGTCATGTCACAGTGACAGTGAGCCCTAGTACAACACGACGAAGGGCACCTCCACCGCCCACACAACAAACTCGGATAGACTCACCACACAGACATTCTCCACGACCATCTCGCCCGGCCCCAGAACCACCAGCATCTACTAATGGTGAGCTTTTGTTTTTATCTTTTTGTCAACATTTTATGCAATGCCTGTTTTTATCACATAACTAATATTTATCTAAATTAAAAAAAAGCAGATATTGAATGATGTAATAGTTGTTCTTTTTTTGCATTAATACAGTAAATATAATACTAATTTATAATTAATCACATAATAGCTGTATTAATCATTATATTCATTACTATACACAACATTAAAAACACATGCAACACCCATTTAATCCATATTATGAAATTAACTTTTGTAACATTGTTTTGAAAAGCAACGTACACGAAAGTACGTTTTTCATTGCTGTAGAATTGATAGAGGTAAGGCTTTGTTCACTTTAGGCTTAGAGAAAAGGAACATATTATATTTTTTGTGATGTCAAACTTACAATTTAAAACAGTTTTAGATAGATGTTAAGAACACTAAATTTGGTTGCATAGTTTTCGTTAAAGGTAATTAAGATTATTTTCTTTCTTCAATAATTTACTTTAGCTAAGATGACCCAACAAACACATTATGCATCTGTTGTTAAGGTAAAAACAAGACAAAGGGACAAGAAAATAACCATTATCTAACCCTTTGAACGACCTGAATTTATTATTGTTTTAAAAATTTAATCTGCGGTACCAATCTGCCATCAGCATGCATTACTACTAATAAATCATTTGTTTTTATGGAGAATTTGTGATTTTATCTTTCATTAAATATATTCGGAGAAAGCCTCTAGTCAGTTGTTATCTTATCAAGTATTATTTCTCTGTCGGTATTCACTGATTAGTTTACTTAAAAGAGTTCACGTAGTTCAAGTAAGAATACTACTTGGTGTCGTTATCTCATTTATCATACACAGGAATTCGGCATTTTAATTTAAGGGCAAATTATTGCCCTAAACCAACTATGGGCCCATGTTAATCCATTCGTTTGAGGTAGCATTGCTTAAGAGATAACAGTGTACAGACCAGAGCTATCTAAAAGTTAAGTCTGATGTTTATCCTGTATCTGTGACCAGGGAGAGAACTTTTCTTAATTTTGTGCCATAGATTGACATCCGACAATGTCCACCAATATTGACAGAATCCACATTTCAACTACAAAATATTCTTTAGAGCTTCTAATAAAAATCATCAATACGTAAATCAAATGGACGTCTATATTATAAAAAAAAACCTGCAGCTCTCGAAGCCACACACAGTGAAATGGATGACCTGCATAAAACTCCATTTACCACTTTTTACTTTACTCACAAGCTCTTTGCCTTACAGTTCTCCTTCTTCTTCCTCTTTCTCTCCCCTTTCCTCTTGAATTCGGTTCGAATAAAAAATAATAACTTTTGCAGTGTGACCTGCCTACAAACAGTCTTTTTTACATACAACATTAAAATTTACCTACCTATGTCATTGACAATATTTCTACTTGGCTAATAGGCATCATGAACACGGTTTTTTTTTAACTGAAATATCATCGTAGTCTCGACCTATTGATCAAAAGGCATGGCGCGAACCCGCGAACGCTCATTAAGGCATTGACCTTATCTTACTTAGCTTACAGACAATTCCTAAAATAAACCCTATAAATCGGTACGACGTCTAAGCAGCGAGACAAAAAACGTTCATTACCTACGACAACAGCTAAAAACAAGTATCATTATGCACTCTTTAACACAAGAATAGATGTGTGCAGTAATTTTAAAACAGACAGCGGAAATAGCCAGGTGAAACGTTTTATATTTAATGTTTATTTGAGCCCGCAGAACGTCTGCGTTAAACGAATGTTAATGGACGAAGAAATCTGATGTGTGTTTGCATACGTCTTTGTTATTCGGATAAGCAAGTTTTCCGCTCGAGTTGTTGATAATATTGCGTATTGTTACATAAGAGATGAAACTAAAAATTACTATTTTTGTTCTTGTTGCTAAGATGGCCGGTCCATCTGGTTTAAAGTCGTCACCGGAGCCTACAGACATGAACAACGTATTTTTTTTCCCTACCTAAGCTGATAGCCTTGAGAGGATATTTCAGCGTAACCTTAGCTAGTAGGTGAGCTCACGGGATCAAACCGGAGTTTTGCTAACACTGACTCTAGCAAGAGCAGTGCTTCGCAGAATCTACCACCGGGTCGGAAACGCGACCCACTGAGAAGATCCGGCGAGAAACTCAGTGGGCCGTGTTTGTGGGTTAATTCGCTCGTCGAGCCCTTCGTTGCAAGCGACGGGTTCGAAGGGGACGGTGACAAAAACAACAACGTAAATGCCACCACCTACCTTGAAACATGAGTTCCAAGTCTCCGTTTTTACAGTACAACGGCTACCCCACCACCCTTCAAACCGAAACGCATTACTGCTTCACGGCAGAAATAGGCAGGGTAGTACCTATCCGTGCGGGCTCAAAAGACGTTCTACCACCAGCAAGACGTTTCCAGTCCGTTTTTTAAAAGATAACGAGGATTTTCACTCGTTTAAATTAACGCTAGTAATGGTTAAGGTTTACTCGTGTTTCTGAATTCAGCGTTATAATGCTCTTTCAATATTTACGTACCTACCATGGCTGAAGGGACTACACTTCATGTGTGACTGTTGTTCAAGGCCCACTTCTCAATCAAAGATGTGTACACCGGCCAAGATCCAAGAAAACAGACTTATAAATGACGTAATAATGAAATAAGTATACCTAGATGAAAAAAGAAAAACGGGCTTTGTAAGCAAACCGAATTGAAAAGAAGACATCTTTGTTGATCTTTGTGACCCTTGTCAGGATATTAGGTCAATGTTGTGAATTATTCGATTGCCGTTGTTCACGTGTCAACGTGTTCTAATATTCAAGCTAATGGAAAGTTTTTCAAAATTACGTTGAAAGATCTTGTTAGATAGATGGATAACACGTTATGCTAATATAAGCGTGTAAAAAAGGTCTTATCGCTATTATGATATTTTGATTGCTCTTTTGTGATAATTTAGTGTTTTTAAAATTTAGCGTAGACACTGTTTCACGATTAGTGAGTATGTTATGAAAAAAAAATCATTTTTTTTTCATAACATACTCACTAATTTTACGAAACGGTTTTTTACGAAAACTGCGCGGTTGGAGGAGTATGAAATTTCCCACACTTATGGGGAATATAGAAATGGAGTGCAAAATGCTAATATTTTTTTTTAATTATGCCTAAAAAATACATTAAATCAATAAAAGAAACATGACACACACTACCATATACTGTATTGACATAACACACACACACACACGCTCATAAATAGGTATACTCTTCGTTTATTGTCAAACCTTTGTTATTGTTTAAAGTCTGTGGTCAAATTGAAAATAGATTAATATTGTTTGCCTTTAATATTATTTGTCAATAATGTAGTAAGTACGTAGTAATGTAGTGGCGAAATCTGTGATTATAGGTAGTAAAATAATTTTAAAATAAAAATGACAATAGAACTATAATAATAATAATGTTCAAACTTATCGTTTCAATTAATTATAGTCGAATTTCGACTACCGGGAGACAACTATAGTTTTATTAATAATGCAAATGTAACTAAATTGAATTCCAGATCGCAACCTCATCGAGCGCCAGAAAGAACGTCTAAATAGGCTCGCAATGGCTTTGAACCAAGAAAAAGGTCGGTTGGCCCAGCTGAGCAAGGAGACCAGTATATTAGCTGGGCCACCGCCCACGCCCTCCTCGGCGCAGCGTCTCCGTGACTACGTGGAGCGCTTACGGGATCAGTGCCACAATCTCGCCAAACGTCTGGAAATGGACGGACGCGGTAAATATAATAATCTATATATATATTAATACGTGAAGCAAAAACTTTGTACCCCTTTTTACAAAAATTGTGCGGTCGGAGGAATATAAATTTTTCCACACTTATAGAGAATATAGAGAAGAAGTGCACAATGCTAATTTTTTTTTAAAATAATGCGTAAAAGATACATTAAATCAATAAAGAAAACATTATACACACTACATACCATGTATTTGACGCACACACGCATGCATACTATTTAATGTCAAACTTTTGTTCTTGACGTCTGTTGTTAAATTGAGATTAAATATTGTTTGTCTTTGTTAATATTTTTTATTGTGTAGTCTTGGCGAAATTTGTGATTATAGAAGTATAAAATACAATCATAATAGTGTACAAACTTATAATTCCAATTAAGTATTGTCGAATTTCGACTACTGCGGAACCTCTAGTTCTATACTAATATATAAATCTACAGTGGTTTTTACGGATGTTCCGTTATAACTACTGAACCGTGCATCCGATTGACTTCAAACTTGGTATCCATGTAGAAAATACATGTATTTAATTGATAGGTTAATATTTATATAAGTGTTGGACTCCCTACACCAGTTGCGGGGGCGTTAATGATGAGAATCTTGTGGGGGTGAGATATAATAATGCTAATTTTAAATGCCCAGCGAAGCGGACGGGTACAGCTAGTATATTATAATATTATATTATTCCTTTCGTATGTTTATCCTACGAGACTTGTGTGAGCTTGCGTGAACAAACACTTTGCTATTTGTCGCGCAGTTATTACGTAATTTTATTTCACCTCATAATATTTGCTTAGAGGTTCAGAAAACGACAATCATTTCCGATGTTAACTTTATGTTAATTCTTGAGATGACCAGAAAATGCCTTATTTTTTTATTGCTTAGTTGGGTGGATGAGCTCACGGCCCACCTGGTGTTAAGTGGTTACCGGGGCCCATAGACATCTACAACGTAAATGCCGCCACCCACCTTGAGATATGAGTTCTAAGGTCTCAGCATAGTTAACAGCTGCCCCACCCTTCAAACCGAAACGCATTACTGCTTCACGGCAGAAATAGGCAGGGTGGTGGTACCTACCTGTGCGGACTCACAAGAGGTCCTACCACCAGTAACTACGCAAATTATAATTTTGCGGGTTCGATTTTTATTACACGATGTTATTCCTTCACCGTGGAAGTCAATCGTGAACATTTGTTAAGTACGTATTTCAACAGAACAATTGGTACCCGCCTGCAGGACTCGAACACCGGTGTAGTGGGTGTGCCTCTAAACCACTCTCCTCTGCTTTTCTATGGGTAGTTAAGATTTAACAGTAGTCCATTTGTTTTTATAAATGATTATTACATTTACAGTGTTTTGCAGGCAAAAACAATAAGCGTAAAAATAATGTTTACAAAGCCATCTGTTATCCATGTTTGAAACTAGGTATAGGCCAGTTTTGCATCAAATTTTATTATGTTTTAAATCAGCCTATCCCAAAGTGGACGATAACGCTCCCTTGTGGGCGCTGCAGGCCTAAAGGGGGCAGTAAGAGACCCAGAAAAAAAAGGGGGCGTTTTGTAGAGGCTTGGGAGGCGATTTGTCATTTCATCTAGGATGACTCTTAGACACTTAAACACTCTCGCTATAGTTGTTTTTAAGTAGGTCAAAAAATGGGGGCGCTAAAAAATAATTTATTCCCAAAGTGGGCAATAGACAAAATAAGTTTGGGAACCCCTGTTTTAAATAATGTAATACGATGCAAAATGAAAAATTGTGGGTTAGGCCATTTTTGCGCTAACGGCCTCAAATAAAAACAGTGTGCATAGACATGACTCATTGTGTGTGCATTATAATTGTTTGGTTTCAGAACCAGAAGAATCTAGCAACTTCTACAGGAACATATACACGGGGCAGCGGCCCTCGTCGTCCTGGCAGTGCCACATGTGCACGTTCAGGAACCATCCGCTCCTCGACAAGTGCGAGGAGTGCGAGATGCCCCGGATACTCGTAGGTACGTCTCCCCCCCGGACGCACGACTCGGGCTTCGGCTCGTTCCGGGACAAGTCGAGGAGGCTCGGCCCGCTGAGCTCTGACGTCACGGACGCCTTCGAGGAATGCCTCCCGATGCCCAAACTGAACGCTTGAGTGTTTATCTCCCCCCCTAAAGTGCCTAGTGTGTCTGTGTCTTCAGTGTTGAACTAATCGAGACGTGACGCTTCAAACTTAACCCCAGCATGTTGATGTCGTTTCGGCATGCGTTTGAATAGTGCCTTAAAGCGAATGACGTTTTGACGTTTAAAAAAAAAACTATTCGTAGACTTGTCTGTGGCACGACCCGACGTCGTTTCGTTTTACGATCGATTTTTGCCTTAAAGACTATAATTAAATGTAAATTTAGTTGATAGGTCGGCCGTAAACGACACTCCATATTGCATGTGTGTTATTTTAATTGATTAAGATTAACCACTTATCCTTTTGTACAATGTAAATCAAACTCTAAAGGTATAGGTTTAAGTTGATATGTTGATCTTCATTTTATTTGATGCTCAATACGAGCTTCGAAATATTATTTGTTGCATAAAGTTATTAAGAGATTTACTAAAGTAAAATTACAATATATTTATTGTTAAAAATTCGAATTAAGTATATTAGCGCAGCTCTTACCTTAAAACTTGCCTAAGTAAGTCAATTTCGAAAAGAATAAGCTCCAGAGCTGACTGAAAAAAGCCTTATTAAAGTCAATTTCCTTTCATTTGTATGAGCTGTGTTAATATTAGCGTATAATTAAATTATTTGATCAAAAAGGTACACATCACGGATCAGTATTGATCATCGTCGCACATCACAAGATCTCAACGTTAGACTAAAATATATAGTGCCTTGCCAAAAACACTTATCAATCCGTAGAGATAAAACATGCCTTAAATGTACCATTGTTATTGCTCAAACTTATTTAATGACTCATTACGCATATGTAATTCAATAATGGGAACTAAGCATCACCGTGGTCCGTTCTATCCTATCATTAAATACATAGATGAGCTCAATATTATGTTCTTCGTTTTTAGGTATGCAATATTTGTGTGCATTACTATATTATTTTTCGTGTAAATCTGTGACACAGTAACATTTGAGTGATATAAATAAAATTCGTCTGTATTCATAATTGATATTTATGATGGCGGTAGTAAATCATAACTTTTTCATACATTATCTTAATGATATAAGTCATCAGATGACACACCATTCAAACATCTCTCTTTGGCAGCACGTCTATCGAAATCCATTTGGATTTATGGTCGTTTCATGACCAATGATAATATTATCCCTCATCAGAAATCCATTTGCCTATGTATTCAAGGGTGTACACGTGCCTAATTCCTTTGCAAATAAAATTTCTTCAAGTTATGGTTTCTAGCCAATAAAGAGTCATATTTAATTTAATTCCCGTTATTCTGTCGTTTCATATTCTCTCATGTTACTCATATTACTCGCCTGCGTCGGCTGACTCGGCGGAGTCATCATCAGCTAACAGACCATTATTTGGAGTACTAGTATCTTTAATGATATCTAATATTTGGCACGTTCCGTAGACTTTAGACATGCGCCAAACAGTATTCTATGAAGTAATGCCATATAGCATGACATTCCGTACCGCGTAATATGGCATTAGAACAGTACTCAGTACTCTAAACATGACCTGTCAAAAATATGTCTGTATTGTTTAATTTCTATAGCCCGCTAACAATTACGTAATGTTTGTACTGAATGCTCGGGTGCCATAAAGTATAGACCTTTTATTATTACCAAGTAAACTCTATACAAGTTTACTTTAGATTTTTTAAAATGTATAATAATTTTAATTATACATTTACATTTTTAGTTACAACTTATAAATAGTACATAATTGCGACATTTTTTTTTTGACACCCGAACGTATACATCAGTACAGTACTTAGAACAAATCGCAAACGGACAACGGACCTCTAGATATTAACCGACCTTTCTAAAATATGTCTATGGATATGAACGTCATGTTTAGTGCTATGTGACATGCTAAATTTTGCCGGATAATAGGTACTGTTACAGTACGCGGTCGTGCTATATTACGTGTACTGCATGCTTCGATCAACAATAGTAACTAGATAAAGGGATACGTACAAAATTAAAGCAAAAACTGTCCGCGTGAATATATACTTATATAGCTACATTCGTTTACTAACAAACGGAGAAAAAAGTTTTGAAACACTTTTACGTTCAAACTAATAACAACTATGGCACCTAGTAATAAAGTCACAAATCTCCAAAACATTATCTAATACTTACGATCATTCGTCACATAAAACGAGCAAAGCAATAAATTACTCCTGTCACTTACCAATAAAAAGACATATTTTAAACAACTTTTAATGTTAAATCAATCTTAAGGTGCAACAAATAAAGTAACTTTTCCCTTAATTGCTCTGAGAACTAACATCGTTTTGCTTTATTTATTTTTGCTTCTTGAAATGCCGATTTCTATTTACTACAGGAGGTAAGGGAGTCGCGCTTAACACTAAAATAATTTATTAATGAATTAAAGTAAAAGTTTAGTTGTTTACTTTTTATGTTTTGGAAATGTATGTTTGTTAGTATCTATACATTACTTATTATTTTATTAGCGTTACGTTTTTGTGTAATATATATTTTTAAGTTTTCGCGACCAGTGCACATAATAAAACAACGTTTAAACGGTTTCAAGCGTGGTATTTTTATTACAATGTTTCGGCCACATTTCAGTAGCCGTGAGCACGGAAGGCAAAGATGTCCAGTGTCAATAAGCGGAGTTCTTAGCTGGCTTATAAAAGTCATCTCTTGTTTCTCTGGCGACAATCGAGATCCATTCTGCACACGTGATTGCTAGGAAAGCTAAAATAAAAATGGAAAGCTAAGTATCTAATGAGAGTCCAACAAACAGACACAAAAGCAGCATTAACCAATTTTAACCAACTAATTTTGAAGTGCTGCTAACAAATTTTAAAAAATTATTACAACACAAATCTACTCCATGCATTTACTGTTCTGTTAAGCAAAAGTTTGTCCATGTGTTGGCCGAGCCTTGGCCAACATTTGTAGCGGTGGTTAAAAATCGGTAATTTTGTTCAAAATTTAATATTATTTATAAGTTTAAAGCTTACAATATAGTTTATACTTCATGTACTTACCGAATGTAAGATATTCCGGCCGTTAAATTGCTTTTTCGGGCCTTATTTTTGCAACTTTTGAATACACACTGCGGTATTGTGAGACGGGTTGACATTGGCTGTGTTTGAAGTGAAATAAACAAAATAAGAGCTCACATTTCAAGTGCGCTGTTATTTGACGAGACGGATTTTATGCACTGACCCGAAATCTAGTTTACTATTGTTGATCGAAGACTGCATGGCACGCAGTACTTACACATGTAGACTTTTAATCTAGACGAGTTTTAGATTAACTTAATGGAAGTGTTTTTAGTGTCAACTTAAACGATTGACTTAATTCAATATGGCGTCTTGACATTTGATCCAAATAAACATTACGATAGATGTGTAATTTTTAGTCGGGTAATTTTTTTTTATAATAGGTACTGTTGTGCTTGTTTACAATTATTATTGACATTACAAATTGTTTTTCGGTGTAAAACAATTAAGCATCACCATAGATACCTTCACTATTATGATCATTGTTATTTTATGTAAGTAATTTGAAAATTCTAGATTTTGTACAGGCGAATAATTTTTAATCGAATTTAACTGTGATAGGTTTACTTTCTTACATTATTATACTTTAGTATTATATTTATGTATTTACATTATATTAATAATGTTTACTCTGTTTTTTGAAGATAGATAGTTGATTTACCAAAATGAATAATAGTTGAAATTGCATAATATTATAAAAAAATCACATAGTTTTTACTAAAATAGTAGTGGTTCAATTAGTCGTATAGGAATGAAATTGTTTCAACATCGTTAGAAAAACCTAGTTAATAAAAAATCCATCTAAAAAATACGATGCACCCAATCACACTAAAGGTAGGTAGCCTTAGTGCCTTTTTAGGCAGCGGCTCGGCTCTGCCCCTGGCATTACTGACTTCCATGAGCGACGATAACCACTCACCATCAGGTGGGCCGTATGCTCGTCTGCTTATTCTATAATTTTATTGCCCTTGTGGGCAGACGAGCATACGTCCTACCTGATGGTGAGTGGTTACCGTCGCCCATGGACTTCAGCAATGCCAAGGGCTGAGGCAAGCCGCTGGCTCGGGCAAATAAAAAAGTTTTTCGAGCACATTTTTTATGAAACTAATTAGATATTCTGATTTAAAATGTATAGTTAATTCACAAAAAAAATCTTTAAGAAAGTTAAAGATATTTGTTGAGATTAGTTTAATGAGTAAAATTTTTGATGAGTAAAAAGTTTTAAATGAGATTTAAAAAACTAATATCCCAAAATAAGCATTTTCAATAAATGAATCTGTCTACATAAAATAAAATTTCGGATGGACTATAGCTTTTTTGTATCATACTATTGAAAAATAACCAATGGTAGTTTGATTGCAAAAATGAGTCATTCCTGGTAATGTCACAACATTTGAGTTTTATTTAGGCCACAACCAAAACAAAATCTTGAAGTCAAAAATATATCCGAAAGAAATCAAATATTTCTTTGTCCAAAAAGTTATAATATTATTTCAAACTTCTGCAGCTACAATTTTTAAATCGTAATCAAATTTTATTTGAACTTTATTTTATTTTATTAAATTACCTAAACAATACAAAAAAAGCTTGTGGATTCAAACATAATATCAGTTTATAATACTTTATAGTACTTTTGGCATCGTTTGATTACAGCAATAGGCACATGTTAAATTTTAAAAAAAAAGGAGAAAATCAATAAAAAAATTACATTAAAACATTAATTAGTCATTAACAAGCAATTGGTGATAATAACAGGGAATTTAAAGGAATATTGATGTGAAACCAAGGTGTCTTCCTAGTATGAGGCTAAGATATTTAATAGTAATATCCGTCCATGAAAACTTAAAACAATAATGAATAAATTATCACCATTTGGTCGTAAAAACTTTATAATTAAATTTTTTATATAGGATGATTTTTTATTTATTTTAAGTTACTTACAAAGTCATAAGGATTTATCATGTTTATATTGTTAGTCAAGTGTATGAGATGAGTCAAATTTATGGATTTAGATAATTGGATACAATGAAATGCAATTAAATCTTTTTTGTTTTGTGAAACTTATTTTGCATACAGTATAAAATATAGAGGGTCTCTTTAGATTACCACTTGCCTCCCATTGCCTATATCTCTTTAAGATAGCTCAAAAATAAAATAGATTAGAAAGCACAATTTAAAAGTCTTGTTAGTTAGAGATTGTTAGCATTGGTTCGTATACTTTATAAATTTAACATTAATTTATAATGCCAACAAGCATTTCTAAAACTTCTACTGCACTATTGAATAACAACTAAAAGTAATCAACGGTTGCGTCATCAAACCCCAAGCTAATATTTTGACTTGAAAGTTTTTATGTCGAAACTGATTTTAAGGTAGCTCCAATTGCTACTGACAGTAGCTACAAAAAGTACCTACAGTAGCTACAAAAAGTACCTACAGTAGCTACAAAAAGTACCTACAGTAGCTACAAAAAGTACCTACAGTAGCTACAAAAAGTATCTACAGTAGCTACAAAAAGTTTTGTTCTTTTTTAAATGGAACTTTTTCGAAAACTCAATATAGGACCTCCTTCTCGTGACTTCTGACTCTGTAATGCCTCATTTAGTTTATCGGTTAGCAATTCGTTTGCAAGAAGACGACAACTTAAAAACTCTTAAAGGGAATATAGCATTTAAAAATCAAAATCTCAAAGTGAAATAGTGCTTTGGAAGTTTCAGCTTTTAGATGAAGTATGTTGTTTTTTTTTTTTAATTGGATAATTTTTGTGATGTCGGTGTTTTAGAAAAATCACATAAGACTTGGGAACATTTATTAGTCAAGAAGATTTGTTTTCGTAGTTTTAACATTTTATTGTGATTTAATTAATTATAATTTTATGTATATTGGAAGAATAAATAAGAGATTTTATTAAGATATTAAAAATGATTTTTCTTTCTATCAGTTTCATTCGATCTTTTTTTAATGAATGTAAATGAATCGCAGATTTATTATAATAATTTATTATAATATTTATTGAATATTTGACATGAATCTTATGAATTTTACAAATTGAAAATTACCCCGAGAATGTCTGTTTTTAGTTTTCTTAATATTTTCATACTAATTCGATAAATCTTACAGAAAAAGTTTTTTTTTTGTATGGAATAATATTTACATCTCGTTTCCTTTTTCTTTAATTGACATGTTTGATTTTTTTTCTTTTAACGCAGCACCGTGTCTTATTGTCGTGTTTTTTAACTATAACAAAAAGGTGAGTAATTTTTCTTTAATAATCCTTGTAACACTGGAATGTGTTTTTATTTCGTTGTGACTTAGTGTGTGATGTGGATGTATATGACTCAAAGAAAGTGAAAGAAGTCCTTACACTTTTTGTTTTCTTGTCAGTGCGGGCTGCCGATGGGATCACTGTTCGATTGATGCCAGGACGACGAAGTAAGTGTATAAATATAGTACTCTACATAAAATTATTGTAAATAGTCCTACGTACTTAAGGTAGAAGAAAATATATTTGAACACATAGAAACATAAGCAGCTGTTTTTGGTCATTTTATTAATGTTTCTTTTTCAGAAATACCACGATCATGGGTTTTATGAGAAGCAGTTGAGTCAAGCTTCGGAATGTAATCGGCATAGTTGTGCCAAATTTTTGCAGAACAAAAACAGCTCGTATTGCCAATGTAAAAAAAAACTGAAAAAATTTGGCACAACCGGCCCTTAAGTGCAGTAGGACGAAACCAATCTAATCTGTGATATTCGCATTTGGTAATGTAAGTGTTTAGAAGTCTGATTATACAGAAGAAAAAGTAATATAATTTATTTGATCTCGCACATTCCAAAAATCTAAAAAAATTGATTTACACAAGTCGTCATAATGTCCCTGTTCCCTTTGAGTGCCCGGGTTTGTACCAAATGCGGATAACTGATCGTTATTTACATTTTAAACGCTGCTGCACTTAAGGTGGATAGGGAATAATTTATTATTTAAAATATGTTTATACGAAAAGATTTATACTACGTCATATATATGTATATCGAATACCTACGTAACGCTTTTTCTCGGGATTTATATATTGTTACCTTTTCATAGTAAAGCGATGTATGTAGGTACTGTTAGTAAATCTTTGCCGCCACTGGATTATCGAATTTCGGGTAAATTCTACAGCACTATCTAGTCGAATATATCTCTGGAACAAACAAATATCATACGTTAATAGGTATAGAAAGGAAATTAAACGACTTACTTTCGAATTATAGATTTATTATAGCAAAAGATTAAGCCAAAAATTAAAGTAAAGATGCCTTTGCCAAATACCTTGTTTACTAAAGTAAAACTTTAATAAGCCTACAGTAATACCTACAGATAAATTACGAAAATAATATAACGTCAACTTATAAAACTGAAATCCACTTAAGGAATTGTTTAAAGTTGTCACGAGATTACTTTTTCATTAAGTATATCAATCGATAAAGTTCCCGTGGTAACAAATGAAACCGTGAATTACTTGCACTGGTTAAAACTATATAGAAATTCAATGACTTTTATACGAATTCTCCGTATATTTTAATGGCATTTCTATTATTTTAACGGCAGATTAATGAGTAAAATCAAATGACGGAGCCTATTGATACAAAATAAATAATTATCACTTTTCATACAAAATCTTAGAGCAGGTCTAACGGTAGGCAGCGGCTTGGCTCTGCCCCTGGCATTGCTGAAGTCCATGGGCGACGGTAACCACTCACCATCAGGTGGGCCGTATGCTCGTCAGCCTACAAGGGCAATAAAAAAAAAGGCCTATGTTTAGCCTAGCCTTGGATGTCTGTTGGCTGTTTATGAAGTACCGGTTTCATTTATTGCCACGGGTGGGTAGTTGTAGTTCTGTAAAAAAAAAAGATTCCCATTATACATCCTCTAAGTGAAAAAGTAAATCTAGCTCTTTAAAAATAAGAGTAAAGTTCCTCCCAAATCATTTTACAAGACTAAGTTAAAAATCATAACACTATTTCAAGTGCCTTATTTAAAAAAAAGCAATCGAAACGCTTCAAATTTTACATCAACGCCAATTGACTTCAGTGAAATTTAATAACTGTCTAAATTACAGAGCTAGCTTCACCCGCACTATCCGATATTAATCCGAACGCGAAAACGACTTCATGTGAGAAATACCCGCATTTTGAACTTAAACACGTAGATTTTTTTTTCTAATTTTATTTCATTATATGTAGGAATTCCTAATAAAAATATTTCATCAAGACTCGTGATTGTGACTTATTCAACAAAGACCAAAAAATTTTTTTAATCCGTTTTTTTTTTTTTAATATGCGGTAAATTGATAGGTCTTTTTTTTTAATTGCTTTACCATTATGGGATATTAAAAATTCATTTAATTAAATACAAGAATCTGGCATGTATTAATGTGTAACATTATATAAACAAAATATGTAAAATTTAAATCTAGACAATTGTAAAGTTTCAAAGGGGTTTGGTATTTATTACCTCTAAAATCACTGCACAATCTTCATATGAAGAAAGAAAGCTGAATGTATAAGTTTTCATAGGTTCGCCTGCCAGATTATAGCTGATTTTACTGATATTTAAATTATAAAAAATGCTCACATGACGACACAGAGAACTGTTTATACCACAGTGTAAATACCAATTTACAATATCATGTACCTACTTCAGTGTGTAACAAATAATAATAATAATATAAAGCACGTTTCAAAACATAAAAGAAAATTGTTAAAATAATAATATTTATTGTTTCTAGTCACGTAACTTTTGAGTATAAGAAAAAAAAATGTTTAAAACGATACGTTGCGAGCAAAATATTGAGAATAATATTTAGTTAAATAAACGAAATGAAATTACGAATACAACCGAATTCCTTTTCCGACTAATAAAATAAATTAGAAGGCAAGAATTTATAATGACTATATCAAGTTAAAATCATAAGAAGTTTTCAGAAATGCTTCACTTCATAGCAATGAGCAGAAATTATATCGAGTTGAAAGACTATTTTGGCTTAAACTACATTTGTACAACTTTACAGGAGAGCCATTTGGAGTTTAAAATTTGGAAAAAGTATCATAACAAAAAGAACTTCTTCAGCTATCTTTAGCTAACTTAATTGAAGTTCAATTAAAAAAATCGAATTGTTGATATTTCCTAATAAAACTATTAATTATGAAGATAAATGTCGCGTTAATACATTGGTTTAAGCCAGCCTTTCCCAAAGTAGCCGATAACGCCCCCTTGCGGGCGCTGCAGGCTTAAAGGCGGGCGGTAAGAGACCCAGAAAAAAATGGGACGTTGTGTAGATGGTTGGGAGCCGATTTGTAATTTCATCTAGGAGGGCTCTTAGACACCGACTTAGCTCTCGCTATAGCGGTTTTTAAGTAGGGGAAAAAAAGGGGGCGCTAAAAAATAATATTATTGTCAAAGTAGGCAGTAGACAAAATAAGTTTGGGAAACCCTGATTTAAGCGAAAATTCGATACTAAGCGTAATAAATAGCCTTTCACTCCTCGATATAATGTATAGTTACAATATTAGTAATAATGTATGAATATTTTAGAATTGAAATCAATCCAAAGTTGTTGTTATATTATTATTTTTATTTTACTTCTCTATGGGCAGAAGAGGTCACGGCCCATCTTGTGCTAAATGGTTGCTGGAGTACACAAAAAATCTATGCCACCATCGCGGACAAGGCAAACACGGTCATCAGTGTGCTTAGTGCGAGGTTTTAAAAGCTCTCTATAGCGTAAAAGTTTACTCAAATTTATATGCAGTTGGAACAGCGCCCCTAGCGGTAAACGTAGTCAAACGTTAATTTTTTATTGCCCTTTAGGCAGACGACCATACGGAGCACCTGATGGTGAATGGTTACCGTCGCAAATGGACTTCAGCAATGCCAGGGGCAGAGCCAAACTGCTGCCTACCGTGAACTCCATACAAATTTGAGTTAACTGTTACGCTATCGAGAACGTTAAAAAACTCGCACTAAGCACACTGGCCTCGAACTTGGATTCCATGTACTATGGGAACCAGAGACTGATTGATATACATACTTATAAATATGTCTAACTATATACATCTATAGGTATTAGACACCCAGCAAAGAGCAAACCGACCTGTTCATCCACGAATATTTGCTCGATGTGAGAATCGAACCTGCGACCCTCGGCCTAGCAATCAAGGGCCCTAATTACTGCATCACCGAGTCGGTCATGAGATCGAAGTTTCAATTGTATTGTATAACTGCTCTTAAAGAAACCATCTCTGCTCTCGAATAAGAAAATTATAACAGCTTGGTGTTTTTTTCGAGTTTGTTAACGTTCTCGATAGCGTAAAAGTTAAGTCAAATTTATAGGCAGTTGGAACAGCGCCCCTAGCGGCAAACGTAGACAAACGTAGGCAAACGTTCCAAACTCCATACAAATTTAAGTTAACTTTTACGCTATCGAGAACGTTAAAAAACTCGCACTAAGCACACTGACTTTCCAAGCCCGTTAGGGTAATAAGAAAATTCTATAGACCTATAACGAATAATAAACGGTTTTTTTTGTGAGATCTCTTGACCTAAATTAAATAATTTTCTTTGGCTGATGTGATGTAGTTGATTTCAGCAGTTTAATAGGCCCGTTTATTATATTATATGTTACAAAATATATTTACGGCAGACTAATGAATTAAATTTGATTTTAAAATGATTTTGAGAATTTCGTTACAATTTTTTTTTTTTTGCTAAGATGGATGGACGAGCTCACAGCCCACCTGATGTTAAGTGGTTACTGGAGCCCATAGACATCTACAACGTAAATGCGCCACCCACCTTGAGATATAAGTTCTAAGGTCTCAATTATAGTTACAACGGCTGCTCCACCCTTCAAACCGAAACGCATTACTGCTTCACGGCGGAAATAGGCGGGGTGGGGGTACCTACCCGTGCGGACTCCCAAGAGGTCCTACCACCAGTGATTACCCAAATTATAATTTTGCGGGTTTCATTTTTATTACACGATGTTATTCCTTCACCGTGGAAGTCAATCGTGAACATTTGTTGAGTACGTATTTCATTAGAAAAATTGGTACCCGCCTGCGGGATTCGAACACCGGTGCATCGCTTCATACGAATGCACCGGACGTCTTATCCTTTAGACCACGAAGACTTCAGTCTATCCATACCTACATATGTAAACTAACAAAAATGAGATATAGCTTTATAACTTGGCGATATGTACTTACTATTCAAGATATTTATTTTGCAGTTAACTTAAATAAACATGCTGAAAATATTCATAAATTACACCGCCTATAGTTTTTGACTGAGTTTGAAGCTAACTAGTAAATATTCAGCAGAAACAGAAATACATCACTAACTATGCCGAGCTTACGTAATTATGTATTTTTTATCGCACTATATGGACGACTTAACGAGGTCCACTTCATGCATTTAGTGGTCACCGGAATCTATCAGAGATAATTAGGATATTGGTACCTACTCGTCTACGCCTAATACGCCTTACCACCGATTATTACGAAAACGAAGCGAATTCCTACAATAAAGCCGGATGGTGGGTATCTTCTTTTCCGTCTTTCCCTCATTTTTGAAGGTCGTCTCTTCTGTAGTCTTCTCACTGTTTCTATTGCTATCCTTTGACTGGTGGAGAGCTTCGTTAATTTTCATTTCTAGCTGCCGAGTTACCTGGTCCAACCACCGCTTTGGGCCTTTTGCCTATTATTTTGTTGATAATGATGGGCCTCTCGTAGACTTATGCGTACTATGTGACCGAAATATTTCAGGAAACGATGAAGATATGTGGTTGAAAGCAGTTTATCGTTGGCACTATTCAATTATCTTTAAAATTGGTACTAAATAAACGTGAAGCGTAAACATAATACCACACGTATTACCACGCGTGTACCATTTGTACCATCATGTTGTACGTAATATGTGGTTCTTTTTAAGATGAATACCAGGTTATAGTGTCCATACCATACGTAACATAATTCCTTCTCAATATCGTCGATATATCAAAATCGAATATGTAAGTATCAGCCCGCCAAATATATCTATCATCTCAAAAATCTCATCAGCATGAACAGCAGTTACGTTTGATGGGTATCGTAGGTTAATGTAACAATAAAAAAATATTTAATATCTATTATTATTATTACATATTTATAAATACATATACAGTTGCTGATCCAAGATTTATCCAAATTATAAGTAATTCAGATTCTTTTGTAGTTAAAACAAAATGGAATAATAATAATTATATAAAACTCAGGACACAACTTAGTTTCCAAACGTATTTCACTGTTATATCGTACTAATATAAGCAACAAGGTACAATAAATAGAAAACGTTTCTGGTTCTATACTAAGTGTTAGGAGACCGCTTCCGAAAACGAAAATTTTGTACCTACAAAGTTGTAAAATTTGAGGAGTGCGGTAGCAGCGCCGCGCCGCGGTGTGCTTCGCGACCGGGCGTTCGTTGATCCAAGCATCAGCTGTTTTTGATTTTGTGTTTCATTGCTGGTTTTTTTTTAGTAAAGTAATGTATTTTTTATGAAACTACCGTTTCATTTAGCTATACTAACACGATGGAGGGTAAATAATGCTAATAAAACATTTTAAAAATATGGTTTTTTTTAATCAGGTTCGATTTTTTCCGTGACATCTCCGCTTTCAGAAGCAGTCTCCTAATACCCAGTATATAGTGCATTAAATATTTACGTATATCAGAATATACGCGGGACGCGTTGGCAATAAGGTTCCAAGGCCAAGTTTCAAAAACTTTAGAAATGTCACACTGAATATACGCGGGACGCGTTGGTAATAAGGTTCCAAGGGCCAAGTTTCAAAAACTTTAGAAATGTCACACTGCTAACTGTTGCGCTTATTAGCCATTACTGAGGGCGTAAGCTAAAGCACTCAAGTTATCTGGCTCATATTAATCTAAGATAATTTTGACTTTTCAATCCAACTTCCCAGGAATACAGATAAAAAAAAATTGATCCAGATATAATTTTGTTTATAAAAATTCTATTATAACTAATATGTATGATATAGCTATATATAAATGTTATATATAAAATATATATAAATGCTATATACATAATATAATATACATATGTACATTTTAAAATGTGATATACATATAATCCTATTCTTTCATTTATGTTATATTTTAAGAAATGAAATGCTGGATCATTTTTTTATTAAAATATAATTGTCTTGCACATTGAAACAATACGCTGAACTTATAGTACATTTTGATATTCCTGTTTTATTTACAATGAATCTAATCTAAAATGTATCTATTACAAAATTGAATAGTTTACATAAAATGTAATATTTCTTTTTAAGATACAATGTTCTTGCTCAGAATTGTACTCAATTTGTATGGGTTTTTTAGGTATTGTGGCAACTGTAATGTTGTTCAGGCGAAACAAGGAATATTGCTAATAATAGTGCTTTTACAGAATTGTAATATAAATGTAATACTATTTGATATGTAATATTTTTATTTAATAATTACATACATTTATCACAATAAAATTGTTATGAAAATTTGTTTAATTTGATATTTTACTTAAAATTAGTGCCTTTTCAAATTTAGAAGATGTTGCTATTCCTTAGCATGTTGATCTCCAGACTAGTAACCATGTTTAGCTTAGTGGGTCACTGCGGACACTCTATGACTGCCAATAAGTCAGGTCCAGGAGTCACGATAGACACCATGTGTTGCCATCTCCTCTGGTTGAGCATGTGAGCTTACCTATCAGTCCCTATGAAGTCGGAATAGCCCCTTAGGGTATCAGTGAATAAGTACGGAAAAAACTATTTGACATATCTCAAAAAAATAAAAAGTACACAATTACCTCTACGGTAGCTATTTTCTATAAAAATAAATGTTAAAAACTATGATTGTTGTACATTATGAGAAGTAGTTGCATTCATTTATGTAAATTGGTTCTGATATTCTAACTTTCATTATCAAAGCAGTTTTATAAAAATGTTATTATTTCATTTTTTTTTCTTCAACAAGTTAGTATTGCATTATTGCATATATCTACAATCTAAAATACCAATATACATTTAGTAAATACTCTGGTGTTTTTAAGCTAAATGGCAGTGCCCCTCTCCAAATTTTGTTTTATTTCAGCAGTATGCTCTCCATAAAACCTTTCCAATTTCTTATTGAATTTAGCATTCCTCTCGTTGATATAATCAATATCAGCATCATCATTATGAATTCGTCTCCTCGAATATTTAGTTCTCTTTGCAATCTGACCCTCCAGATCATCAACCATTTTGTCTACTGCCTCTTTACGATCTTCGTGCATTCCATGTATGATGACGTTGGGGCCTCCATAGAATGCTTCACCATACTTTTGCTTTTGTTTCTCATACCGTTCCATATCCGCTGGTGGCATGTTTTTCACTAGCCTGTTGTATTGTCGTATTGTGGCATGTTCATACGTCGAGAACCCTTGGTCTGGGTTCTTTTTCTTTTTTTTACGTTCGAGTCGCTCTGCTTCTATCGCAGAAATATTCAACAATTTGACTCGATCGTAGTTTTTGCCTTCTGTTTCTGCTTCTTCTCGTTTCTTCTGATCCTCTACTAACCACTCTGCCTGGCGCCGTTTAGCTTCATAGTTCGTTGGTAGCTTGTTCCTAGCCTCTTCTGCTACGACTTCTTGGTGGTTTTGTGTCCTAGCTTCGTTTCGGGCGGTGTGTAAGTTACGCAGTCTCTGCATACGTTCAGCCTGTTTTTCGACAAATGTTTTTTCTTTCGCTTCCTTATTTTGTTCACATTTTTGAGTATTCATTTTGTAGGTAAACTGTTTTCTTTCCTTTTGTTTTCTTACAAAAATGACTTACCTACCTATAATTTTAACTTTTTTTTATGGGATTTTATGACTTGGTAACTAAGACCTTTAGGTCATGTCTTATTTTAATTTATATACTTATTTTTATGAAAAATGATAATATGGAGTGAAATGAAATTAAATTAAATGAAGATAATTAATTTGAGACATCAATTAACTGGGATGAAACTAAATGCAATGAAATGAGATGATGATGATGATGATGAACAAATTACACAAATTCACGTTCCCGCCAAGAAGTCATAGATTGTACGAATATTTTTTTGTTTTAGAGATTTTACAACCCGGTAACTAAGACCCTTAGGTCAAGTCTTATTTTTAATGAAAACTTTTTTATATGAAAAATGATATTTTATGAAATGAAATGAAGTTGGTTAATATAAAACAGGGCATGAAATGAAATAAAGATGAAATGAGATGAGATGATATGGGATGAAATATGAACTCAGTAAAATGGTGGCTATTTACTGAGACTTTTTCAGTGGACTTTTTGGAGGATCCTGAGAAGTTACGTTCAGTAACTTTGTTTAATTTTTACACCGTTTGTGCACTATCAAACCACCGTTATTATACATTTAAATCTGAAGAAAAACTAAGTAGACAAAATAAAACAAATCACACAACTTCTAACTATACTGAGATCTTACAACTTATATCTCAAGGTGGGTGGCGCATTTACGTTGTAGATGTCTATGGGCTCCAGTAACCACTTAACATCAGGTGGGCTGTGAGCTCGTCCACCCATCTAAGCAATAAAAAAAAAACACTCCTCGCGTTCCCGCGAAAAAAGTCTATTATATTTTTATTTTATTTATGAAGTGTTTTTTTGTAAGATTTTATAGTCTGGTAAAGAGATCTTTTAACCAGGTCATAATGAGACACAGATTAGGTACTACTAAAATAATTTAATCATTAATCATCTTTTTTTATATGGCAATCGGAAATTAATGTTGCGAGCGTTGAATTTGTTTTGTCTTTAAATTTTTTTTTAAATCTAAACACTCATGAGTCATGACAAACTCTATAGCGCAGAATACTAAACGTTTACACGTAGGAAGCACTGCGATGAAACAATTCAAACAACTTTTTACCTCTAATTTCCGCCAAGTTTTCAGTCAAGTCGGCAGACCAGTCCTACAGTAGGTATTAAAGCAAAGTAGGATATTAAGCCGTGTGCTAGCACTACCTTTTCATTATCTAAGACAACACTCACTATAAAATTAGAAAATATGATCAATAAATATTTATTTCATCATTCAACATCATTTTTTCTTTATAGTTAGAGTTATACGCAAGAAAAGCCAGTAAGATTCTAAATATTTTAATTGTTAATGTTTACAGAAAAATCTATCAATAGAATAGTAAAGTTAAATAATCGGCTCTTATTATTTACTTAATAATTATAATAAGTAAATAATTCATTATTTAGAATAATGCACGCATTCCTATTTCTATTATTTTGTTAACTCACGATTTTAGTTCATGCTAAGTTTTACCCATGTTTTACCCAAGTACCTACATACAAAGTTTTGACATTGATAGCAGCTGTCAGAATGCGACGTTGGCAGCTCAGTTGGCACTTGGTTTGATACCTACTTTTTGTAGTTTGCCAGTTGCTCCCACGACTAATGACTAATCTGAAGTAAGGCAGTTTGTCTGTGTTTTGGAACCGTGTTGCTTGTGTGATATTGTGTAATAGAGGTACTCCCGGGTACTTCCTTGCTGAATTCAAGTGTTTCCTAAATCACGATGTCGGATGAAATCGCAGAAAATGGTACAGCTAATGGAGACGTTCCGGAGATCGAGCTTATAATAAAGGTAGTTTTTATTTCAATTGTATATTGCGCGAGAAAAGTCGTTTATATAGCGGTCAATAGAGTTGTGTGTAGCCTTTGTAATAAGATGATATAAAGATCTGCCTTTCGAGCAGACTGTGCTGTTTTTTTTTACTATTCCGTCTTGCAAATAACCGGTGTTGATTATTATCAACATCAGATTGTACTTTTGCATGAAAGTAAATTAATTCTACTCATAGTTATTTGGGTCGTTTGCAACTCGGTTCAGATTCGATGTTCTTATATCTACATAAAGTTGTTGATAATCGTTATTCTAATGTATTATTAATGAAATATTAAAAATAGACGCCTACCTCATGCATATATTTAAGATAAAAATCTTATATAAAACCAATAAACGCAAATAAAAAAGTTACAATTCAAGATTTTTCCAATAAATCTTAATCACACTAAAATTAATTACACTTCAATAGTATGTAACACTTACTTAATTGACAATGAAATGCTAAAATTTCAAAAACAAATCAAAATAGTTTCATGGATTTTATATACATTAAAGTTTCGATTTTTTATTGAGCTCTTTAAAAGAAGTATTATTTTAGAATATTTTACAACTGAACAAGACAATTTCTGAATTAAAATCAAGTTCTATTTTACTGGATGACATATTTTCTTGGAAGAAAAAGTACTGAGGACTTGGTAATCAGGGTTAGATTTACATTAAGTGCCACCCTAGGGTGTAATGAAAATGGCACCCCATTACCTACAGCATACATAAATTGAACTAAAGCTCTACAAAACAATTTGGTACAAGACACAGCCCCTAATGCCTCTGATTAATACCAATTGAGTGAAGACGAACTTGTCCTGTGAAATTCAACCTTTTAATTTTATCTACCAAAATGTGACTCAGGTTTATAAATGCCTACTCACAATTAATGACTAAGTACTTTGATTAAATAATCGTATTTTTATTGATTGATGAAATTTCTATTATTAGCCCACTTGAAATTAATTAACATTGGTAAAACTAATCTCATATTTAAAATGCTTTGCTAGAAACCTCTTTCATGATAACTATTAGTAACATGTGAGTTATCGAAAGCATTTATTAATTTTAAGGGAAAAAATTATGAAAATATTTTATGCATGTTTTTTCCTCAATTTTGGTAACCTTGATATTTCCTATATGAGTCGACTATTATCAAAGCCAGCAATCTGACTTTTGGACAATTATTGGTAAATCAGAAAAGCGAATTATTGACTTAGTATTCCATTGGCAGTCACAAAACTCTTCGGAACGACATCTTAGATAAATAACAGGTTAACTATTAACCTTTATTTAATGCAGGTTTTGAATCGTATTCTTTGAAGGAGACGATTATATTCATTTCAATCTGTATTGACATATCAATAACATTTTTTTGTCCAAATGCACAGATTGCCACCTTTGATAATAGACGACTCATATATAGTATTGTCAAAATCTTGCTTAAAGGTAATTTAACCAAATTATACTTACATTGTTATATTGTTGTGTTTGTTGCCCTCTTATCGTTTATCCATATCTCACAGCAGTCTCATTTTCCCCTGCACCATACTATGTGTTATAGTAGCTACCAATAGTTGTTGTATACCTGTAAGTCTTCTAATTGAGAATAAATTTTTTTCACATTCTATTCTTTCTAAATTACAATAATATGTATCATGGTGAATATAAATAACTTATTGATTTGTTTCCATGGAATTATATTCATTATTTGCCGTTAGAAATCTTTTATGGTTAACTCAATTTTAATAAACCGGCCCCTTTTTTTTTTTACTCAGGATGTCTACACGTTAGTTTCATTAAAAAAAATATACATTGTAGTGAGCTGCAAAATGGGTTACCAGCATAAACATGGGCAAGTTGGTTAAAATACTTTACTTAAACAACTATACAGGATGGTGGTGTCAATCACATACTACATGTGGGTTCTGTATTCATACCAGGTGTCGTAAGCAATATATCAAGGTTATTATAGTACAGTCTTTGGATTTCACGAGTCCTACACATGTATAAACTGCTTGTACACATTAATTTAACTTTTTTCCTCATGTTTACTTTATTTTAGATTTTGTGTACAAGGATGGCAGTTGAGGTTTTAGAATTAACGTTGAGGAAAATCAAAATAGAGTTTTGAAAAGTTATAGAACTCATAAAATGTACAGTAAATCATATAATATTAATGAAGTGAATGATTTAGTTTTAAGTAATCATCACTAAAGAATGTGTGCGCATTCTTTAGTGATGTTAAAATAATTTAAATTGGTGCTATAGTACCGAGATTAAATGTTTAAATTTTTATAGAAGGTTTTATGACGATTATCAGTCTCTCTCATGCAAGGTATGTTAGTATAGTCTGTAGCATAGTCACAGAGACTGCTACCTTTTGCGTCATTATTGCTTAGCTTCAAATTACAACTTATAATGTTCTTATTTCTGCACGGATTTCATTTTGTCATTAGGTTTGTTTATTATTAACTGTGTCGCAACATAAAATTCAGAATCATCATGTCCATCTTCATTATTTTCAAAATGGCGCGCGTCCGTTATAAAACATACAAATTTAAAAAAAGAATACCAAAAGAAATCTTGTGACACGTCATATTACGTACATACATACATAAATTAATATGTAAACAAATTCTTTTGAAGTACCTACTCTAAATAATAAGCCTTTTGCGATCGTAAATCAGAGAAATGTTTTGGTCGTCCATCAACAGTCTTGACTAAAGTTATATAATTTTAATTGGCATCGTGATCATTGAGAGCGCAGTGCTGAACGAATATTTCCTTAGAACGCGGTGCAACGGCCCGAAAAAACTTTCGTTGCGTTTAGATCGTGAAAGAAATATCGTCATATGAACATAATAGCAACACAAGGCCGGAAATAGTTTTTTTTTTTTAATAATAGGTGCGCTCAATGAAGTCCTATTTTATGCTTCCGTGTTCTAATTTAATTGTAGTCGTAAGTAAGTCGTTAGCTACCTTTATTTAAGATATTGTTATTAGCTGGATGAGATTTGATAGTACGTAGGACATGTTATTATTAGTCACAAGTACATAGGTACTAATCTATTTCCTAATGCGAGGGAAACATGTATTAGGGAATGAAGGGTACTCTTTCCTGGTCGTTATTCAATACAATTGAGAGTTCGACTTCATACATACTACAAATAGACTTGAGTTTATGTAATAATACCTACTATTTTTATGACATGGATCATTGCTCGTACCTACTAACATTATTATGTTGGATATTTTAATTCATAAAACATAAGCTGTATGTTAACTTATAAATATGAACTTCTAGTAGGTAACCTATAAATTAAATTTAACGGGAATTAAAATAACCTAATTAAAAGCTTTTAATGGAATTTTAATTTGTTTACTAATTCAAAATCATTTATTTCGATTAGAATTTAATTTATGTTCATAATTACATTAATAAACTCAACCACTGGATAAAAAAAAATACACAGAACTGAGAAGAACCGACGAAAAAACTCCGAGAAGATGTCTTATTTGTATTGAAATTTTCAATATAATTTATGGAAACAAAACTTACATAATTACATTATAAAATAAAACGAAGGTCGGCTGCGAGGATAATAGGCAAAGGATGGTCAGACGTAAATATCTTATATATTTATGCTTACATGTAACGATTTAGGGTTACTTCTTGTTTTTCTAACCTAAATAGGGTTAGTCTCATTTTATCCACGGTCCAAGAAGCTACTGATGCAAGAATCTCCATACAAAACACCCAGGGGTGTCGAACCATATTTATTAGTATTCAAATTGAATGCGGAAAGCTAGTGCAAATACAGCATGAATATTAGTGAAACGCATATATATGCATACAACGGTATTGTACGAAACTGAATATTTCTACAGGTGATACTGGTTCGTGTTGAATTATAATTCGCATATTATTATGCTGATTATCCATAGTTCTGCATATTAGTACCGTAAACCGATTCATACTATTAGACAGTTTTTTATTATTATCTTTTTTAAATATAGGAATCGTCAAATTATAATGCAAATTAAATCGAGCAGGTGTTAAGCTGTCACCGGGGTCTTAGACGCTAGAACGCAAATGTCACTGCCCAACTCGGAATAAAGAATTGTATAAAAATGTTATTGTAGGCATAGTGGGAGTGGCAACCCTGCGGGCGTTAAAGGACGCTTTATTGTCAGTATTCAAGATCGGAGTTGGAGGGAGGGCTAGGTAGGAAAATAGGATGAAAACGGAAAACGATATCTACTGGTAGGACGTGTGGTGAGCCCGCGCGGGTAGGTACCACCACCCCGCCTATTTCTGCCGTGAAGCAGTAATGCGTTTCGGTTTGAAGGGTGGGGCAGCCGTTGTAGCTATATTTAGACCTTAGAACTTATATCTCAAGGTGGGTGGCGCATTTACGTTGTAGATTTTCACTGGTGGTAGGACCTCTTGGGAGTCCGCACGGGTAGGTACCACCACCCCGCCTATTTCTGCCGTGAAGCAGTAATGCGTTTCGGTTTGAAAGGTGAGGTAGCCGTTGTAACTATACTGAGGCCTTAGAACTTATATCTCGAGGTGGGTGGCGCATTTACGTTGTAGATGTCTATGGGCTCCAGTAACTACTTAACATCAGGTGGGCCATGAGCACGTCCATCCATCTAAGCAATAAAAAAGGGGTGATAGGATGACTGATTTTGGGATGTATAACGATGAAGGGAAGATCTTCCACCGAGCGGGTGATATTTGCTCGGTAGACCGACGGTCCGTATGTTGTTGTTCGGAACTTGTATACTTATATATGCAAGCTTATCTTGAAAATGTCGTAAGCGAGATTCAAGCATCTGTCAAATATCTTGTGTTCTGTGATGGCTACCGCCACATGATTATTAAGAAGCGCTCTCATTAAACTGTTGATATTACTTAATTAATAATCGAAAATAGCGTTTTTGTTGTAAATTTTTTGCTGTCGGTG